GCTTCATAGACAATGCAAATTACAAACAGACTTTACAAGCTCTGAACAGTGGCACAACAAAGGGTAAAATGGTCCATTACAGACCGAAAAGCTCTCGCACGTGTCTACATGACACAACCTTTATTTACAAGCCTAAAGAGGCCACCAACCCAACTAAAATGGGACTATTAAGCCTTCGACCGCCCCTTTACATTCTGTACAAGGCATGAACATGCCAAACGACACGGACATACATAAGCATTACATCAAACACCTTGTTTAGAAGTTTGTCCGTGACAATTTGGCGGCACGCAAGGAAGGAACCTTTTCTTTCCGTAAATCCACCCAACCTGGAAACACAGAGATGTACCTTTCCCGACCATCTCCATAGATTGGTGGGTGCATTGTGGGTGTTCGGCTTAATGGGCATAACATTTCATGTCAAAGCACTAAAATAAAATAAAATAAACTATTGTTTTCCCCTTAATTTGAGAATGTGAGCGGTGATGGAAGCCCTCCGTTCCGTTCGAAACGGGGATGAAGAGGCGCGATAATAGAAGAAGGACACCGTGACAGCTCGAGTCCTCCGTTCCCCGGTGTGCTCCTAAGCGCTTCCTTGCCCATCTCGCGGGAGATTTGGTACTTCCGGTGGGGATTCGGGCCAACCGGAGATGGACCGCCGAGGCCATTCGAGGAGGAGCTCGTCGTTCAGTAGCTCGCCGGCGAGGAAGAAGCAGCCAGAGATCGGGAACACCGGTTGGAAGGCGCCCATCCCTCGTTCTCTGTGCGCTCCCTCTATTGCCTGCCTTGATTCAATCGGTTTCTACTTACTTTTTGTTTCTCGCAAAAAATGAATATTCTTGTAATGTTTGTGTCAAATTTCTCCGATCGGTGGGTGGAACAGCATGATGTTTTCTTCGATCAATCATTTCGTTGTTCTAATCGTATGCCTCTACTTCTAAACGAATGCATAGAATCACATCAAGCTCTTGAAGAAGATGATTGTTGCGGAAATTTTTGGTCAAAACTTCTAATTCTTATCCTACTCTTTATCTGTTGTACTGCTAAATCAAGATGTTCGCTGATGATCATGATGCTTATGTTGTGAATAAAGCAGGTAATGTGAAGTACGTTCTTAAAATTTTTGGTAGGAGACTGTTAGATTTGTAACTCACCTTGAAATTGATGACATGGGATTAATCATATCGTCAGCTTCCTTGCTTACCTATGGGATGGTTACATTTGATGTGATAATTCAGTACTCTTATACAGCTCCTGTTTCTTCTGGAAGCAGGAGTTTGAGTGGTGACAGAACCGTGAAGAGGCTACGATTGTCGAAAGCGTTGACAATGCCTGACAGTACAACGGTGCTGGAGGCTTGCCGACGGATGGCTGCTTGTAGGGTTGACGCTGCATTGCTGACTGACTCAAATGCTTTGCTCTGTGGAATCCTCACAGACAAGGTTGTTATACCATATTTTCATTCATCAATTTTGGAAAATTAAGTCCCTTAAAAGTTTAGTGCTGGTTTCATATTGTTTGAATTGGAAGGATATAGCAACCAGAGTCATTGCCAGTGAGTTGGTGCTTCAGGATACACCAGTTTCGAAAGTGATGACAAGAAATCCCATTTTTGTTCTTTCTGACATGCTCGCAGAGGAAGCATTGCAGAAGATGGTCCTCGGTTAGTATTGACTTAAAACCATGGGGTATTTTACCTATTCCTATCAAGTTAAAGATTTTACTTCTTCTTCTTCTTCTTCTTCTATTTTCAGGCAAGTTTAGACATTTACCTGTCGTTGAGAATGGTGAAGTAATCGCTTTGCTTGACATTGCAAAGTGTCTATATGATGCTATTGCACGACTGGAGAGAACAGCTGAGAAGGGAAAAGCTATTCAAGTCACCGTGGAAGGGGTGGAGAAGAACTGGGGAACATCTATATCTGGTCTGTGTCGACAGAATATCAACAGCTAATGTATTGTTGATGAATATTCGTATGTGATTTTGCTGGTTTAATGCATATGTTTCTTTTTCACTCCCTCCATCTTCTACAGTTCTACTGTTACTCCCTCAACTTCTTTAATATTTGCTATTTTGTTCATAAAAAAGGGTATTGTTTCTATTTTCTTTTGTGGAAATATTTTATCTTCAATTTGATTACTAAAAATTTTATGTGTGAATTTCACTTTTATCCAGGGCCTGGTACATTTATTGAAGCTCTTCGAGAACGAGTATTTCAGCCATCATTGTCAACAATTGTTCAAGGGAACTCAAAGTAGGTAATATATTTTTTGGGAATAAACCATATCATTAACAATGCTTATGTTATAGATGATTGCTCCACAGTGCCTTTATCATAGATGTTTGTTCAGATTAAACATATTTCTGATTGAATGTCTTTAGAGGATGATCTTCTTATTGTGAAGTTCATTGTATTAGGCATCTTACAGTTTCACCAACTGAGTCAGTTTTAGCTACCACCAAGAAGATGGTTGAATTTCAAATGAGCTCTGCAATTGTAACCAGTGGAAATAAGCCACTTGGAATACTGACGTATGCCCTTCAGTTCTAAATCTAAGTGCGTTTTCTTGAACAGCATCATCTTTACTATCAACCCTGCTGAGAATCTTACTTCCTCCTTTCCTGTGTTTCTTCCATATCAGTTCAAGAGATATTCTGATGCGTGTAGCTGCAAAAAATCTTTCACCAGATACAACTGCCGTGGAGAAGGTATGTGTTCTGCATGGAGCTTATCATTGTGCAATGTTTTCTTATAAGCTTGTTAGATTAGTCCTGTAAGTCTCTGGCCATCTCCACGATCTGCATAATGTTCATCTAACTAGTAGTTAATCTTGATAATGTATAATATGGTAAATGGTTTAGTCCAACACTTCAGTTTTCTGATTATGTAATTCATCAGCATGCATAACTATTTTGAGCAAACTATGAGATTCTTATAATTAGAATAAGCTCCTGCGCTTCATATTTTTCTAATAAATAACACACTAGTCTTTGCCTTTGTTTGCCTAGAAAAAGATAAAAAAAAAACAGAATATGGTTGTAACTACTCTGCACAATGACTCGGTAGAAGATGAATTTATTAAAAGTTATCTGATTAAGACTTTTCCAATGTGTATGTGAAACAATTTAATAAAATTCCGCAGATGCTATTGTCTTTGGATTGAGAGAAATGAATCAAAGAGAAGTATGAGAATCAAAAGGAAAACTTTTCATGTATGTATTAGAAAATACAGTCAAGTTTCGGAGACAAGTTAGGAATTTCTTCTATGTGCCACCAGATCTTCAGATTTGGTCACTTCTTCTTGATCTTCGAATATTATAGTCTATGATTTGTTTGAGAAAAAAGAAAGAAAATTATACCCATGTCAACAAGGATGAGTGCCTCTCCCATGTGTGGAAAATGGCCATTTTGTTCCTCACTAAGAGGGCTTCCAACTATTAGGCTATGGCCTTGTGTCCCCACCATCAACCAGCAATTGCTTCATCATGTATAGTATCATATCCAAATTTGATGTTCACAAAGTGGCGTGGAGGGAGTTCCTGAGTTCTAGCTTAAGTTTGTAGCACGTTTTGTCTATGCACTAATTGTTATATTGTGTATCGCATTCTAATTAGAGCATTGCTTGTGATTTAATTATTGGCCTGTATGCTGACAATAGAAGTTTACAGAGTGGCAGACATATTTAAGCAAAAAGTGAACAGAGAGTTATCTTTAAGAAAGTGTCAATAACTTTTTGCTATTCCATTGGAATTTCAGATTGAGGTAGCAAGATATTGTTTCACAATCATCTTGGTGTGTTGTGGTAGATTGTTAAGACATACCATAACAAATGTCTTATGTTTTTCTTTTCTTTTCTTTTTCTTTTTATCTTTTTTTGATTAGAAGGCAGGACATAGAGTATGTTTCTTAATCAATGGTTCCTTTATTCCTTTATGACGAGTGTGGACCATATCAAAACCGGTGTTGTTGCACTGCGTTTGAAGCTTTATATATTGACTCGAACAAAGCAGACTGATGAAGCCTGTACCTAGTTAAATATTGGCCCAAACAGTGTAGACAAGTTGTTATCAGTTCTGTCTAGGCAATCATACAATATACTAATAGCAGTTCGTTTACTTAACATGTATGGTTCTCATATTTAGGTCATGACACCAAATCCTGATTGTCGAGGCATCGATACCTCGATCCTTGATGCTCTTCACACTATGCGAGCTGGAAAATTTTTACATCTTCCTCTTACAGACAGAAGTAAGCTTTTTCTTTTTATTTTCCTTTCTCCAAATCAGAAGAAAGATGGTCTTCAGAAAGATAGCATCGGACATATTATTATTATTAGTCTTTTACTGTTTCTTATATCTTTTTGTTCATTACAGATGGTAATGTTGTGGCAGTCATTGATGTACTTCATATCATGCATGCTGCATTAGCCACGGTAAGTAATATTTATACTTTCACTTTGGACATTCCTTTGACATCTCGTTTGTCTCATTGATTGACTCACTAAGCATGATGGTTATACTCCCTAGACTGTATGGTATATACCATTCTACTAGTTCACCTCGATTATGGTTTATAGCCAGACAAGTTAAATAGTTCATCTTATTTATTTGTATACCATGGTTCGTCTTACGAGTTCGTACCAGTGTACTAACAAGTTGTCAGTATGATATGTACTGAACTATACCGGGCCATACCGAGCATACCGATAGATGGTATATGGGGGTATACTGATGTATCGCCCATACGGGTCCCCTATCAAATTAGTACGTACTGCCCATACCGAGCGGTATGTTTGGTACAGCGAACCTTGCTATAAATGAGAGTATATGGTGAAGAGTTAAACTGTTACAAATGGACCAGCCTAAAAGTTGGTCTTACCAAATATGATAGTTGGATCATGAGATGGTGGTAATCTTAAGATATGTGTGGAAGTTAATTACACATATTTATGTATATATGCATGTATAAGATTTTAGACCATGTTTGGAACTTATCTGGCTATTGCAAGATATGAATTTATCTCTTCCTTTTAACCACTGAAAATTTTCATTTCACAGTTGCTTCACAGTGCTAATTTTATGCATACTTATATCACCTTGCCCTTAAATGTTTATTTGAAAGTAAAGAATGTAAAGTATATGTATACATACATATATCTACAAGATTTCATATATCAATCGAACCAGTATGTACTGATCATTATGTACTGGTCCAACCAAGGACCAGTAACAACTTGTATGATTCATTACCAATTGGGATTTAGTTTTCTGTTAAATTTTGGTGCATTGGATGATACAAATTGGTATACCACTTGGTATACTGGTGCCATACTGGTCCAACTGATTATTAAAACCAGTAAGGGACCATGATTGAAATCATTATGTATGCATACACATATATGCATTTGTAAATATGCATATACATATAAATCAACACACACACACACACACACACACACACACACACACACACATATATATATATATATATATATATATATATATATATATATAAGTTAATGCTGAATGGGACTGCTGGTTGTGGTAGATAAGCCATGCCATATCATAAAAATGAGTTGATCTGCACGTTAGTGAACTATATGTATTATGCGAATTGATTTATAATGATCTTGTCTGTGGTTTACTTAATGATATTACATCAAAGATTTGTTTTGTTTAAGTGATATATATTTTAGTATATGAGATCAATATTTTTCTTATTTTACTTTTTATATTATCTGAGTGTGTGTTTATTTCATCTACCAGAAGACACTGATGAAAAAGAAGTTGCTTTATTATTGATATAGAATGAGTATCGGAATTGAGCCCGAGTTCTTTCATACTCAATAGATCTGTCTGGAACTTGTTGAACATCAGTCCTGCCTTTGAGATCACTAAGTGCTCACCTTATTAGTGTATATTTGTCATTTTTTTTTTTTGCAGCTTGCGAATAAATTTACTTTGGACTAATTGCAATTTATTTTGTGCTACCAATTACAGTTAGCTAGCTGCTGACAATGTCAAGCCGCGACATTGATAGAATGTCAGATATATTTTGTCATATAAGAATTTGTACATTTCTCTGTCTATTGCATTGCTCATAAAAAAATGTGATCTTAAGTTGGTTCAGGATTTCCATTATCAAAGCATTCAATTTTTGGATGTTAACTATGTTTACCTAGCCTAACATATCTCCATGACAGTATTTAGTTACTTTATCCTATAATCAACAATCTGTGACTAGAATAAAAAATTTCAATTCTGAACAAGCTGAAACTCCTTGTATATCAATTCATTACATTAGGCCTTTGCTTTATTTAATTGAATAATTTTGATGTCTTGTTTATCATCAACAAGTTTGAAAGCACTTCTGCTGTTGGAAATGAGGCTGCAATTTCCGTAATGCAAAAGTTCTGGGGTTCTGCAATGGCCACAGGACCTTTGGAGGAAGATGATAATACAAGGAGGTAACCTGCTTTGATTACACATGGAAAATGCCACCTTACTTAGATATTACTTCAGGAGGTCATTAGTTCTCAGTCACCAACTCTGGCTGTGTTCCAGTGAAGGATCTACAAAACTGACTTCTGAGGTTACTGACATGGTGGGCTCTTCTTACCCTTCTTCGAACCTACCTGATATGTTTTCTTTTAAGCTCGAGGATAACAAGGGCAGGATGCATAGGTTCCATTGTGGTAAATTTGCTACTCTCATGGTCTTTTGAATGCATGTTATTAATTAATCTTGACGTTTTGCCTTTTAGACTGACAATATTAGCCATTTCCATTTCAGAAACACAGAGTTTGACATACCTCATCACTTCCATCCTTGAGAGGGTGGGCGATGACATCAACAAGAATCATTTGGCACAGATTCTGGTATGTGCAGAATGATTCACCCCCATTTTGTGTCAAAATGTATACTTAGCCTGATTTCTCATTTTCAGTATGAAGATGAGGATGGTGACAAGGTCATCCTTGCATCCGACAGTGACCTAGCTGAAGCTGTGGACCATGCAAGACTTGCTGGCTGGAAGGCATGACCACCCAGCATATTCTTTTCATACTGGTCTCAATAGCACACTGCATCCTTTATGATATTGACACACTGGATGATACACAGATCTGTACCATCCTGAGTTAGTGAATAAAATAATATAAATTATCATTAAATAGCCCATGGCTTCTGCTTTCAGTCATAAGCCAGCTGAAATTAATGTATCATGTTGGCTCTTGATTGACCTCAAATATGTTTTTTTTCTTGGCGCAGGGATTGAGGTTACACTTGGATTACTCCGGCACAGGAGGTGGGAAGAAAGGTGGAGGATCAAGAAGAATGGACTTGTTAAACATGGATGCCTGGGCAGCGGCATACAACATGGTTGCAGCAGGAGCTGCAGTCATGGCTGGCCTGGGTATGATGGCTTACTTGAAGAGATTCGGGTCATAAACCGCATCACCAAGCCAAGGAATTCCAAGCAGGGAAGAAGGTGAAACCAGGCAACGCTGGTGTAAAAACAACCTTTGGTCGAAGCCATCACCAACCAACGCAATTTTGACTTTGGATCTCTCTCTCTCTCTCTCTCTCCCCGTAATTTCCTTTGACATCTGCCGAACAAGTGTCAATTAGAAGTAGGAAACGTTTTCCTTGGTATCCTGGTGACAGCATAATGTTCTGCCTATTGTCGGGTGCTTGTCGTTCTCATTGTAAAATATTTGTGGCGCCCCTTCTGGATCAAGTGGGTATCGTTATTAGCCATGTTATCAAGAACGTGGTTGGCTCCACTGTCTCTGGCCGTCTCCCTCGTGTTGTTGTTGCCTTTGTGTTCTTGGAAGGCACCTGTGGTGTTTTCGTTGATATTTCTGGTTTGTGGACTCCCATTAATACATAGTCTTTTATGGGGACGTATACACACACCCACTAAGGATCGCCATGATTTGCTTTGGAGACACGAAGAATGTTTACCGCATGATAACAAATCAACGCACGTTGTCTTACAACATGGCATTCAAAATAGAAATTTGCATTCATTGTCCTTTCATAAAGTTACAAGTGATGTGTTGTATAACTTGAAATCTTCATTTTTTTTGTTTGTATAACTATTGTCATTTGACTCAGTAATGGTCAAATAGGGGATCGGATTAATCAAGCCAATAATGGATGCCGAATTTATAATTCAGGAAGAGCATAGATTTCAACAACATTTATGAAATCTGGGAACACTTAAATTATTGTGAGCATGCAGGTAGAGATAGCTTGATTGTTTTGACCATGACAGCGAATCCCCGCCCAATGGTTAAGAGATGTAATAATTTATGGATGTATTTATTAGTTTATAAGTTTCGAAGTTACAGATATACATATTATAAGGGACATAAACAATATTTATCACCATGTGGAGGATACGTGTGCAAGTTATTCTCGAAGCAAACCACACGCAAAACGTGATGGTGTTGTGATGGCCACCACCACCCACCGAGTCAAAGCCAACCATTCAACCACAATATTTCCCCCCCTTTTTTTTCTTTTTAATGTGAGAGAAAATAATGTTTATTTCAATGCTCTGAACATCAATAATAAAATTCTATGATTTTGTTCGGATAAAAATTTCATTCATCCGATCAATTAAAACGATTATAAAATCCTTAGTCATAGATACATTTATATAGATCGTCGATCAACGGGGATGGTTATTGATGTAGGAAATTGAGTTGGACATGAGCTCATGCGGAACAAAGCACACCACACACGTGTGTGTGTATATATATGTATTCTTGCGTTGAAGCAGACAAAGGAAAGTGAGGCAGCCCACCTTTCATCAGGGCTCATAAATATCAGTATCATCACCATCAGTAGTACCATTGAGACGACAAAACGTGGACAAATTCTCCGTCAGTGAAGCAGCAGCTACCATCAGAACTCAAACGCAGTGTTAACTCCATCTCCTTTCGTTGGTGTCGAGTGGGGGATCGAGGAGCGTCGGTGGACATCACCTTTAACATATTTTAGGAACGATTACCGTCGATGATAAGGTGTTGACATCAGATCCTCCTGTCTCCGTTATTTACTTTCATAAAAAAAATAAATTGTTTTTTTAATCATTTGAATTCACATATTCATATAAAGTGATTCTATTGCATGTGATATTTGATTCTTTAACTGTGAACCAAAATATTTAAACGGGAGTTAACGTAGTATACTCATCAGACCCTTATAAATTAATCATACATATTGTTCATTTCCGATGTAGGACTAATGGGATGTTACAGATATTGATATTTCAAATTTAGAGGATGAAAAAGATTTTTTGATGACCTGACTTAGAAAAGTGATTTATGCAAACTTAATTTAAGGAAAAGCATGTTTTTTCTAAAAAAAGGAAGAAAAAAAAGAGTTTTCACCAAATTATATTTCACTAAGAAAATATTTTTTTTTTGACGAGATTATTATCTCTAAAGTAGGATAATGATTGAGATTTGATAAGATTATTTAGTTTAATATTGATTGAGGAGTATAGAAACTAATGGTTTATAAGTTCGTTAGGTCTCACTTACCTTCAGATATGTCTTTTAGAGACGGACAAAATCGTACACGTACGCCCATTATCGATCGACCAAATGATCGAGTAAGGATTTAGATAGGCCAACACATGAGCCCACCCACCACCATCTTTAGATCTACACATTTGTTACAGTGTGACATTACATTACAGCTAATCCATTGTACTTAAAAGCAACTCTCTATGCGCCGCTCCGCTTGAGAGAGCCATCTTGACTTTTGCATCCGTGCGTCAGTCTCCCGTCTTTTTCATTTTAAATTGACCTTGTGTTTTTTCACCTCCTCCTCTTCCTCCTCCTCCATCACCTGTTTCCTTTTGGTTCCCTCACCCCGTCCTCCTCCTCCCGGTGAATCGATCAGACCCCGAATCCCATCACTTCTTTCTCACCATCTCTGTTCGCGCCCCCTCCCGGTTTCCTCTCGATATCTAGGTTTTGATTTCGCTCCCCTTATCCTCTCCCTCTTCGCTCCATCGGAGCTGCGTCCGCCGGCTGCTAGCGTCGTCGGAGCTGATCCCTTGGCCCGGAGGCGATGCAGCACGGTACGAAGAGGATCCATGGCTTCCTCTTAGTTAGACTGAAGTTTCTCTTTTCTTAGTCTTCTTGGGTTTGTCTTTTTCTGCTTGTTGACGTCGGATCGGTTCTGGTCTGGTACCCAATTTTTTTCGAGGGCGACTTTTGAAGAAATTTTTGAGGGGATGAATAGCTAAAGTAATTTGTTTGCTTTATGTTTCTGGTCTGGAATCGAAAATATGAGATTTTTGAAGAACCTTTATGAAGGACTTGCATCATCCTGTGTTGTTGTTGTTTTTCTTTTCGCTTTTCAGAGCAAACTTTGTGCTTTGAGGATTGGGATCGCGCGTTGTTATTCATTGTTTCTTTCTACTGTCAAGTGGAAGTTGCTTTTCAATCGGGCACCTCTGTGTATATTGATTTGTCGAAGCGTGGAATTGACTTACTTAAATACGGCGTTCGTTGATTGCATTGAAAACGTTAATTGAATAGTTAAGCTAGCATCAGCGTGAAGCACTGACCTCTTGTTCACCTTCGTTCGCCTACTGCTGGCGTTACTCGAATTGGATGAGTGTCCATTTCTTTTGCTAGTAAACCTGTTAGATAATAGTTTGTCTTATTACAGGTTTTGATATTAATGTGCTCTGCCAAGAAGCTCAGAAACGTTGGCTGAAGCCTTCGGAAGTTTTCTTCATCTTACAAAATTATAAGCAATTTCCTCTCACTCCAGAGCCACCTCATCTGCCACCTAGTAACATGATACTTCTTATAGTACTTCTCAAGTTGTGTTTTTTTTATTAGATTTTCTATGCTTTCATCTGATGCCATTCTGTTTTCTCAACAGGTGGCTCTTTGTTTCTTTTCAATCGTAAGGTACTTCGATTTTTCCGTAAGGATGGCTATATGTGGCGGAAGAAGAAGGACGGAAGAACTATTGGGGAAGCACATGAGCGGCTGAAGGTTTGTTAGAAAATATCTGATACTCGTCTTTTGTGCAAATCAATCGATCAATCTGGTTCATATCTGATACTCATCTTTTGTGCAAATCAATCGATCAATCTGGTTCTTGATTGGACTAGGTTATTTGACAATCATTACCATCAGAATTGGACAACCTGGTACTTCATCCTCTAGTTAGAAAGACCTGTGCTTTGTGCTTTGTAGGCTTATGGACTGCTTAATGCTTCAATATGAACATTTTATTGTGCCAACATTTATAGCCTATCCGGTGTTTCCATTTTAGTAACTTTTAAGCTGAGAATCATACGCCAAAACCAACATTCCATATTTTGGGTTTCTTTTGGTGTTTTAGTTTAGTAATCATGTTGGTAGCAAAATCAGTGCTACTTGAGATGCACTTATAATGCAAAAGATATTATAACTATCTTCATTAGTTGTCATATTTCTATATATAGCCTAATGTTAAAGTTTTAGAAGTGTCTATTGAAGAGGGAGTATAACAACCCAACTTGGATAGGGTGTTCTGTATTACAAAGGGTAAACTATCATATTACCATAGGTAGCGTGGGATCTTTAAGATCACAAGCATTCAATTTGAAGTTATATGACTAGCATGAATGGTTACAAATGGATATTTTTCTTCTTTGTTTTTATAGAACAAGATTTAGGAGTTAACCCTATGGAATAATTCTACAATGGGCTATAATTCAGCTCCTGGGTTAAATTCCGGAGGGCCTTTGAGTTTTTAAGGATTACGATGGTTGTAGGATAGGTGGTGGAATGCTCGCATAACAGAGGTACCCCCCAAACTGACACATATCTCGGTGGGTGGTTTTTCGTTTGTAAAACATATTGGAGTTGTGGTATTTGGTCTAGCAAACTAGCTAATTTGTTGTATCAAATCATGATGGGCCTGTTATAAATCATTGGTAAAGTATATCCGAATTATGGGATTTGATCTAGCAGACTAAGCTAATTTGTGGTAATTGAGTCATGAAGGGCCTGTTTTGCATGTTCATGTCCATATCTGATTGTTCATGACATGTCTAACGCATGGAGTGGACCCAAAATAACATGATAAAAGTCATGATGGTTATCTATGATAGTCGTGATTTTATCATGTGACCTAGGTCATCATATCTGGAATGAAAAAGAAAGAGGATGAGGAATAAGAAGAAGAGGGAGAAATGGGCAGAGTTACAGAAATAAGGAGATCTCTAAAAGATATATAGTTGCAAAAAGGAGGTAAGAAAACTGTAAGTATGATTAAATACAATAGTTTCTTTTGCAAACTAGTACTGGATTTTGGAAGGACACTAATTGGCTTACTAAAACTAGGGAAAGGACATTTAGATTATATTAGGTGTATAAACATGAAGATCAATGTCAATGAAATTGAGACTAGGGAAAGATGGAGTTGTTAACTTAAACTTTCTGTTGATAATTTAGCTTTGGAGATAGAAAATAGTGATAAGATCAGAAACCACAGATTTGTCTATGGAATTAGAGCAAGTGAGAGAAAAAAAAAGCTTTGAAGAGTGTGAAAATTGATAAGAGCATTAGACCTGATGATATTTTTATTGAGCTTTAAATGTTTATGAACCAAGAGCAGTATAGTTACCTAGTTTATTAAATTAATATTAATAGTGGAAAATGCTTGATGAATGGAGAAGCCTTTTTGGTGCTAATATATAGGAAAAAGGGTATTCATTTTGCTCAAATTTCAGAGGAATTAGGGTATATGTCAAACTATGCAGCTTTGGTAGAGTGACTGAACAAAAAATATGGTTTAAAATGTTCAGTTTCAAAAATTAGTTTGGTTTTGTATTTTGAAATTCAACTACAGGGGCTATTTAATTGGTATAATTTATACAAAATAAAAAGAGTAAGAAATGATTACACATGACTTTTATTGATTTAGAAAAGCCTATAATAAAGTTACTAGAGATCCTTTGTGTTGGGTTTTAATGAAGAAAACAAATCTAGCAGTTCTATTGATGTGATAAATGACATATAATTAGTGTTAAAATTATATAGGAGAGTTTCTGTTTACATTAAAATATAGTGTTATATTTTAATTCTAAACACACTATAGAGACAAATGTTAAAAATTATATGTAGTTCCAAATTTACTTATCAAAATATGTTTTGTGTACAGACCCTCCAAAATAGCAAATATCACAAATAACCCTTTGAAGTTAATAAAATATCATATATAGCTAGTTTTTCCATTTATAAGTACATAACCATACAAAATTTCAAACTGAAATGGTATTCATGAATTTTTTTCAACTTCAGAGGCCGTTTGTAATATTTTGAAAGGCATTCATGGAAGTTTGTCAAATATAAATGGGTATCTCTGAAATCATGTGCGAAGCAGAGCATCTACGAAATTTTACTAATTTTTCTAGGCTATATATATGTATATATATATATGTATGTATGTATATATACATACATGTATGTATGTATATATACATACACACACATATATATATATATATATATATATATATATATATATATATAGCAACTTTAGCAATGTCTAAAAAAGAATATATAGTTAAGATGGTTAGACAAGAAATCCATAGAGTTCTAGGTAAGGTTTAACTTTTTGTGTCGATCGATGGTGTCGATCGGTCGGTGGTACGACATGTACTGCTCTGTCCCAGCAGATCGTGTGTTGGTATGTCGGGGCATGCTGACAGTCCTAAAAAATCTCTAAAAAAATTCAAAAAATATCTGAATAATAATAAAAGTATAAAATTGATTTTTAAATTAGAACTAAATGCAAGTTTAGTTTAATTTCATAAAAAATATTCTAAATTAGGAAGGGATAACAAATTTATTTATTTTTGAGCTTTGAGGAGTAGCTTTGCGATATGCTTCGAATCGTTATTATGTTGATATTGAATTATCTATAAATATATAACTTGAATTGTTAGATTATGAGTTGAAACGTTAAGATTCAAATGAATCAAGTAATAAATGGATTGGTCGATAGATATACCTGGTTCTACCACCAAAATAAATAGTGGGACTCCACAAGTAGTAGTGGTTTGAGGTCATCAATCCTATATATTTGTATATCAACATAGTATGTTTGTCGGACTCAATCTTAAAATTTTTCTCACCACATGGTATATTGATAGACCGTATACCATTGGTGCATCAATGTGGTGACAGTTATAGCCTGATCGTCTTGAACCACACATTGCAAAGCGATTCTTAGGGCAAGCATGACTGTGGCATGTATTGGTGTGGAAGTTGAAAAATGCCGCAACTTCTACTTTCCTACTGATCTTCTACTCCGTATCAGAAGACCGATAAACCTTAAAAAAGAATGACCAACTATCATCATACTGTTGTTAGCCATAAGATCCTCCATAATATGATGGCTGAGAATACGACGAGCTTCGTTGTGTTTACGTTGTATAGGTTTTGTCGCATCTACTCAAAATCATCAACTGCCTTCTCCTTCCCCTTTCATGTATAAATGTGATAACTACCTCCTTGAGCTGCATGATTTGAATCTTAGATGGTTTGCATAAGATGCTACTCTTTTATCACTATAAACATGTTAATCACCTACATAAAATTGACCCAATATGGGTCTAATTTCGATGAAATTCGTATTAAATCCACTAATCATGACATTAAAAATTATATTATTCCCTAATTAATCCTCTTTTACCAATATAAACATGTCAATCATCCTAATAGGCATTAACTACAAAGAATTGACCCAATATGGGTCTAATTTCGATGCAATCCGCTTTAAATCCATTAATCACTATATTAAAAAATTGTATTATTGCCTAGTTAGCTTTCTTTTACTATTATAAACATATCAATGACCCTAATAGGCATTAACTACATATAATAGATCTAATTATGTCATAAATTAACAAAAAACTAGAAAGAGAATGCATACATTATGATTGGAGTAATCCTCCTCTAAATGACGTGTTACAATGCCTTAGACGTCCCAAATGAGCCTCTAATTAATAAATTGCAGCTTCGCTTGAGTTGAAGATTTAGAAATTGTGAGAAAGAGGGGGAGAGAGAGAGATTTGAGTGTGAATGAGTTAGAGAGAGTGTAAGAGTGAAAAGAAGTTGAAAGAGAGGGGAGGAATGGGCTTTAAAACCTATTCAAATGCTGCCAATGGTCAAATTGACCATTTGAATCAATTAAATCAGATCCGTCGGTCGAAATTCAATCATTATCGATCGACTGGTACAGGTCGGTAACAGTTCAATTTCAGACGTATGGCCTGATACGAGGGGGTGTATCACCCGATAACACCCCTTCCCCTCCCCCCCCCCCCAATTCAAACTGCCTAGTATAGGGCGGTCTACATCTTGGTTGCCCGTCGGATCGGTATGTACCACCCATACCGTATTGACTCTGCCGAAATGACATTCCTTGGTTCTAGGTATCTTTGAACATTCAATAGGACTAGAAGATTGAGAACATATTATGAATGACCTTTTGGTGAGATGATTAAGGTAAAGATGTATCCAGAGATGTGTGATCATCATTTTCCCTTAAGATTAGAAGGGCTATTTTATAAGATAGTTGTAGGGCTAAGCGTGCTTCATGGATTAAGAAACAAAGTGCATAAAAGGTTAGCATGACTGAAACAAAATGGTAAAAATAATTACTAGAGAATATAGTATAAGAAATGTTTACATTCGTAAATAATGTGATGTAAACATTAGGATAAAATGAGAAAAAATCATTTAAAATGGTATGTGTGTATTCAGCTCTCCTCTGGTCATGTTGATATCATCTAAAATAGTTTCTCATTATTTTACCCTCCATCCGTACTACTCCATGTTGTTCACATATGTGAACTTCTCTTATGTAAATAGAGTTGATCTGAGTCTAGTATACTACGTTATATGGGCCACTATAAGTGGGTACACAATAACAAGATATAGTGACCCAACCCTTTAGGGATGATTACATGGATCTTTTCCCACCATTAACAGTTCTATTAAGTGCAATGTCATTAACTGTTTAAGAGTAATCAATTTTTTTAAAGTAAAATTTTCTTAGTATCTCCCTCTACTTCTCATACAAATAATCATAGTCGCTTACTCATCTAACACTGGTATGTATTGGTCTTCTTTTCATGTGGCCTATAAACAAGGTAAGCCAGTCAGGAATAGTCATGCTAGAAGTGGTACACGGATAAATAACAAAAAATTATTAGACATAGCACAAAAGAGATACCATTTGATTAGTGATATTACCCTAAATAAAGCTCAATGATCTGAATGGTTGGGACATTATGCCTTGTTTTTATTAAGTATTGACCTGTATAGGTCAATATAACACAATATTTGTGCCTATACTGGCCCAGTAGAGGACCAGTATGATTACTCGTATTGAGATTGAAATCCATGCTGCTGGTAACAGTATAATGTTTTTATAAACCTAACACTTATACTACTCTTAAAACATGTATATTTCTCCTGACCTGAATATATACCTTTCTAAGTTTGTTAATGAAATTAATCAGTCAATTCTTTTTTTGCTTTGCTAATGAAACTTGACCATTAATCCTTTTCTCCTAATTTTACTTTATCTTATTTCCATGTTGTGGTCCTTTTGCATTCATCCCGTGCAGGTTGGGAATGTTGATGCTTTGAGTTGTTATTATGCCCATGGGGAGCAAAATCCTTATTTCCAGAGGCGTATTTTTTGGATGCTGGATCCGTAAGTTTGCATTTTGTAGCTCAGCATGAATCACTTAACGATTTTGTTAAATTTTCATTCACGAGATATTTTATTGCAGTTACAGTTCTGAAAATTACAACTGTAACTCTTTGATTGAATTCAGGATTATGCCTCCATTCAATAGCATTACAAAATCATGATTCTTGGACACCGAATTGGGTAGTAATCTTCTTCGAATTGCTACTTTTTATCTGGGCAACTTGAATGAACTTGGTTTTCATAGTTAAATAGAAAGTTGCTCTGAGTCGGCATTTGTGCCCACCGTACTTTATGTCAATGCAACATGACTTGTTGTTGGTATCATGTATGTGTTTGACTTAGCTGATGCAGATTTGAATTAGTCAGTTCCCACCAATCTGCTATTTCCATCAATGTTACTATGCCATTATTGCTGGGAGATAGAGAAGAAGGGTTGGAGAGGCGAGTGATGAAAAGCAAGAGGCTTTGGGAACAATCTTATGACTTACTCAGAGGGGGGAGAAGTAGAAGATGCAAAGAAGATAAAGGAAAAAGAGAAGTGAACAAATATATAAATTAGTTATCAAAATCAAATACTAAATAGTACCTTTTATTTTAGTTGTGAAGTAACTATCTTGGAAATATTTTTATATAATTCTTAATATTATATTTGATTAGTTTTAAGTTAAAAATATTTAAACATATTTAATTATTTTATATCATATCTTGTATTAGTTGGACCCATATACATGCACATGTATTTTAGATTTGGGCTGCCCTTTTAAGCCATAATCCATGCCAAAATCAAGGATCTAAGGTGGCTGGATAGCTCTAGCTGAATTTTAAACCCTGCAAGAATGACGATTACGAAAAGCCATTTGTGTCATGAAATTCATGCGTTAGAAATAACAAGGTTCAAGACCTTGAGATATTTTCCGATCCGCTCATTATAATTTATAATTTTGATGTGTTGTTTTGCTTCTAGTTTTTGAATCACTTCTGGCATGAAGAACTTTGCAAGTAGTTATAATTTCTTAGTGGGATAACTCCATTTTAACTATATTATTCTTGACTATCAATTTACCATTGTTTTCATTTCCTTTCTTTGGCACCACATGAACGTCTTTAAAAGTGAGAATTTTCACTTAGGAATATTAATTGAACTCCTAATTAAAAGATGCAATCACCATTTTTATGAGTTTAAAGTTACTGATTTTCACTTAGGTGCTCCAGTTAACAAAATTCACTGTTCTGCAGGGAATCTGTCCTATTTCACTTTTTGTACCTGTCAAATGATATAAGTAATTTTCCTCTGCATGACATGATACTATGCTATGGTTTTCTAGAAGAAACAATATTAAGCTTTCTATAGATCTTTATAAATGTGTTCTGCTAATTATTGACCTGAATACTTTTATGGTATATGCATCAGTAAAGTAATTTGACATCTCTTTTCAGGGCATATGGACATATTGTTCTTGTTCACTACAGAGAGGTAGCTGAGGTTTGTCACTGACTCTTTTCAAACATGTTGGCTTTTACAAAAGAAGGTAGAACCATATGTGCTTTTCGGGAACGAAAAGCAAAAATATGATGCAAAGACTAGAAGGAAAAGGAGATAGCACATAACTAGGAAACGAGCACTTTTCATATTACTAGCATTTACAAATTGTTTTAATACAACCATACAAGTAGAAAGGATCAGCTGATGGCTATTTATGAGTTGAAATGATGTGGTTCCAAACTTGCATGTCGATATTCTCTTGTATGGCTTCATTAATCACTAGAAATCCTCCATTTTCATATAAACTCCCATTCATTTTGCTGTAATCTACTAGTCAACAAGCACCCCAACCAGAAATAACGTTCGCTACTAAGCTCAATCAAGTCTTGAATACCTGATGTTAGTGCATGTTAGTTGCAGAGAAACTAATGGAATATGGTTTTCCCTATAAAAACCTATTTTTTGAAGTTTGATTGTCACTATAACCAAAATATCCCTAGGAAAATTTTCCTTTCTGTTTCTCAGATTTTTTTTCTCAGAAAAGAAAAGAAAAGATTTCTCTTAATCGTTCTTTCTGCTTATTTTTTATTGTAATTATCCAAAAAGAAAGCAACTATTTTTTTCTTGCATTCAAAACTTGAAAACGAAATGAAAAAAAAATGTTCTCCGTTCCTTCTCTTGCTATACATACAAATTGTATTTTTGTATTTATTGTATCATTTTGTCTCATCGAAATCCCTTTTCTTCCGTTTTCCTTTAGAACCATATGGACCCTTGTAGAAGAAACATAATTAGAATTGGATATTGTAAAGCTAGTATGAAGCATACACTAATATAAGGGGTTGTTTTAAGGAGTATGTACAGAACTATGACACTATTGGTTAAATTTTGGTTAGCCAAGTACAACAAGGTTGCGAGTTTTTATGTTCATCTACTAGCAAGCATTACCTTATGATTCTTGTGATACAATCTCAGATACAATGTAAGACTTCCAGTAAAGGATATCTGAGGCTCAGTTTAGAAGAATTTTTTAGGGTCTGTACAGAGGGTTTTAACATCAAGACTGCGGTTGATGAAATGCACACAACGAGGTAGGCTTAACCTCCAAAATCAACAAGAGACAAATTGGAAACTCCATATGATCTTCAAATAAATTTTATATGTGAACTCAAAATTCAAAGATATGATGATGAGAAAAGACATTTAAGATTTGTTTGCAAAACTTTGTTTGGCTTTTAAATAAATTTTATGTGTGAACACAAAATCCAAGATATGATATTTTAAAAAGATACAAAATATGCTTGCCATGGCCTGACATGCCATGGGGACAAACATAATTAAATGAAGTAACATGATATACCTCCATTATAGTATCAGTTGTCTTGTCACTTTGTAGCTCAAGTCCGTATATCACATCGTGGAGAGCTAGCGAAAATTCCGATTATATGGCCAGGTTAAACTGATATTAATATATGGGATTAAGATAATATACTACACCATGAACCCAATACTTGAAAACTGTGCATACTTTTTAAATGTATATTTCATAATTTAAAAGGAATGCAAAAATTTTTTTCCTGCATTGTTGTCCCATCTACAACCAATGATATTATATCAATATAAGCAGATGATTGTAATCATCAGCAATTTTAAAACTTTCCTTTTGTATGTGCTCACATCTCCCTTATTCTAGATGCTCTGTTGATTTAGGAAATTTTCATGAACTTATAGTGTATTGAATAAGATAAATTTTTCTGTCTGCCAACTAGCATATCAGATTTTATGTAAATCACTCTATTAGTTAAACTTGCCTCCGCTAGGAGTCTTATCAGCATAAAGATAACGATGATGACAATAATGGTTATAAAGACTCATGGTAGCTGCAAGGGCTTTGCACCCATCTCCAGGACAATTGTTTTTACTCTAGCCATTAAGGGATTTCTCTTGAAGTAGATAATGGCCCATCTTTTGTAGTCCGTGTTACTTTACCCTCAGTACAGATATCTCCAAAAACAAACATGACTCATTTATTTTGATAAATCTCCATGTCCAAGTGAAAGTCATGCAGAGTTCTTTTACTGAACTACATGACTAGGCTGGCCTTGTGTCATTGGATTCTTTCTACAGGCGTCTTAAAATTGCTTGTTTCAATTTTATAAGTTCCACTTTGAATATTCTCTTTGACTCTTGGTTATACTGTTATATCTTCCTTTCACACAAAGTAATTTGAAAGTCAATAACTTTGATATGGTTGTTGATTTCGATTTTTTCACCATAAAAATGAGTGCTGAATCGTTGTTTACTTGTGTCATTCAGGGAAGATATGTTTCTGGATCAATCTCAAACTTTTCAACAGAATCTTGTTCAAACTTGAATCAAACCACTAGTATTATTAATGCCGATAAAGGCATTAATTCTGGAACTACTGAATTAAATGAACCGTATTACAGTCCAGGATCAACAGAAGAAGTTAGCTCCAAGTTTGTCTTAGAGAACTTTGAAGCAAACCGCAACAATCTATTGGATAGATTAGAAAACCCTGACAAAAAACCACAGCCCGAGGTCAACCAAGCATTACGGAATCTTGCAGCACAGTTGAGTTTGGATGATGATGATGATGATGACTCCATTTACTTTCGAGAAGTACTGCCTGCATACTCTACACAGAATGAGAGTACACTAGGCTTAGGACATTTACATTATGAACAAACAGAGTTTTCTCAGGCACATGAAAATCTTCTCCAAGGATTAGAGTTAAGAGGACATGGCGAAATTAATGAAGCTGAAAAGCAGCAAAGTTATGCCACTACCCAACTGCCAAAAGTTTTAGGTACTTTTATTTATCAATCAATTGTTGGATGTCCTTCACATATTTTAATATGTTGTGAAGTAGTTTCAGTGCTGCAGATTATCCTTTTGTTCCTACTAAATGGTTTTATGTTACTTGAAATGCTCAGTTCTGAAGAACAAATATATATATCCAATTCTAATGAGTTTGCTTTTCTCCCAGCAGGAATATTCTTGAGCACATAATTTCTCCTCATGGTGTAAACAAATTTAGTTGTATGTTTTCAAGTGTTTTTCCTTTCATGTTCAAATACTTCTTGGTACTAAGCTATGATAAGGAAATTGTGAAAAGTAACGCAAATGTAGATTCCATAGTAGCGACTTGCTGAGGTAAGGCTGCATCCATTGTTCCTCTCCAACTCCTGCATTGGTGAGAGCCTTGGGTGTTGGGCCATCTTTTTATAATATCAGATTCTACTTATCATAACATTGGTCTGACAGCAATTCTGAAACCTGTTGGATAGGTACAATATTGAGATACCAAGCAGTGCACCAACATTTATTGCTGGGTGTCACTTAAAAATAATAAAACCAATCATTATCTAGCAATATGTTTCATTATTAGGACTTTGTTAGGCCAGTAAATATTGATTGGTACCGTTTGGTATCACTATAATATAAAAATAATATACTTAGTGTAATTGAGCTGTCTGGTTCATCATTGGTGATTCATTCGACTGGCAAAAATTGGTTGATATGTACTGATTTAATGGGAACTTTTACTCCATGACTATGACCAATTGACAAAACCTTACAAGTCTTTTCAAAAACTCCACACCGATAGCTTTATATGTTTTTGATAACGTCTTCCATTTTGGCTTAGAATTAATCTTGATAGGTGCGTAGGAGTTGTGCAAGCCTTTACATTGTTAGTCCAACCAAACAAGGGCCAACCAAGGTCATAATAGGTCAAAATAAACTCACGAAGATCTATGGTTGGTCTGACTTGAGTTTGGCAGGGGCCAAATATAAGCCATCGGTTTATGTCATATTGGTTTTAGATTTACGTTTATCTGTTTTTCTGGTTCTTTGTAGGTTTTTTATTTAATGGTGTTATTAGTGGGGCTAATTAGGGAACCTAAACAAAAGAGAACTGGTGGCTGACTTGTGAGATAGTTATCTTTAATTGGTTTTAGCTAACAAATACAGAGGATAAAATAATTTGAATTGGCTGTTTAAAGGGGATTTGCCACCAAAGAAAGCCTGTTGTTGCCTGTAGAAGCACAAAAATATTGATGATTGGGGCTGTTTTCTGGACTGGTATTAGTTTATTGTTCCAGCTGGTAGGTACTGTGGTGGTTTCAGCTTGCAAACAAGCAGAAAATCTACACTTTAGTAAGGATCGAGCTACATAAATGCACCAGGATGCCATATATATAGCATCATGGATACCAAGCTACTATTATTTTTTCGAACGCCTAATGAAGTCCATTCCACAGCTGGCTGGTTGACTATATAAAAATGCACTATTTTGTTTATAAATGTGGCCTCCCAAGAACAAAGCAACAATCATCACTAAAAATTTACTTGGTACTAGTTGAAATATAATTACAGATGAACCCAAGTTCCAAGTACATTAGTTACTTATGATTAACCTAATTTAATTTTGTGAAAGCTCCTTCCTGAGTGTGCACTGAAGCTCCATAAACGATCTGCCAAATTCATCTGATTCGTTCTGAATCAGTAATTGATTGTATCATAAGAACATTGAACCAAGTCTGATCATGCACTGAATCCTCCACCATCCATCCAGTGATTGACAAGAGACTAGAGTTCTAACTGCAAAGATCATGCTGGCTTACTTCTAGAACAGGATCTTGATGGTGTTTGAGCCTTTTTGACATGTGGCATGGCTTGTTGTGATGGAACCAAAAAGAAAATAAATTTATAGAGATCAACTAGAACCCATATCTTTGGCAGACAAATTCTCTGGCACTATCAACTTTAGCTGAAAAATTCCCTGCAGTTGCTGTGGGAAATAAATATTGAAGGCAACTCTTTGAAGAGATGGCCACTGCTAACTGACTGGTTCAGTTTGTTCAAATTCATCTTTGTTCTGCACACTTCTGAAGATGAAAGATGAAATTTAAAGTTTTAGCTTCTGCACAATTAGTCCTATACATAATGATTTGTGTCATTCAAAAAGTTAGCTTGCCCTGTGGCCTCTTAATGATATTTGACCCCATCAAATAATCTACACAGATGCAAATTTCTTGCTATGAATTTTAGAATTGTTCTTCTGGAATAGTATTAGTTCTGGTTGGTTTATTCTATGAAAGAAATGAAATTACATATCTTGCAATATAATTGCCATTATACAGTTGTAGGATTATTGAATTTGCTTCAATTGGCTCTGAACATGTAATGCTATGTGAAATGAAACACCACCTGTGGTTGTTATCAAATAAATGTCCATTAGCATGGCCTCTCTCTGATTGTTTTGGTCTTAAATTCAGTATTCATTGTTACCATCAATACTCACTAGGATGTATAACTTTCTTCGAAAAATTACATATAACTCTGCAACTTGGCTAAGACTTTTGAGGCACTCAGTAAATTGTTCTGCTTTATGGGCATTTAGTTCTTAATATAACGTCAACAATTGCTAAAACTTCTGTTTCCCTGTTTGCTCGTTTTTGAGTTGCATAAAAATTATTGATAACTTTACTGTCTACCCCCAAACTAATGCATTGAAAGTTAGAATCAATAGAGGTTTCCTAAATATTTTATGCCTTGTTATTTCAAGTCTAACATGAGATGTATAAACAATTACTACTTTTCGGGTACTTGCAGAATGATTGCATATGCCTGCCAAGACGTTATTGACATGGTGGCATGCAATAATATCTCTAAGAAACTCTTCTGCTCTTATTTTCTAAAACACCTGAAACTAAATTGATTACTCATAATACACATCCAGGTGATCATGGAGCAAAACAAAGTGAACCACTATATCTGGAATCTCCCTCATGGACAGATGTACTGACATCGAGCTCGAGTTCTGCAGGGGTAAATCGCCATGGAAGGAACTCAAATTTCTTGGCTTTAAATGGCATTCTTGATTCTTCCATTCCCAAGGTAAGTGGACTTGAAGCTGAGTTGTCTGTTGTTTTTCTGCAGCCTGGATTGGTGAGGGTTCAAGTTGTATATCCTTTTCTTCCGCTGTTTTCAGTTTTTTCCTTTTTGGTGATAAATAATGTTTTTGTGACCTCAGATTGCATGCTAGTTTTTGAGGAGTTGTTAAGTTTATAACCAAAAAATATAGTTATTGTTGTCATGTTAGACTAACAGAAGAGCTGGTTCATGGCATGCGGTCATCCTAGGTTCACAATTTAAGTCTGTAACTGTAATATTCTACATTTCTGTGTGAGTTGTGAATTAAGCTTTTGTGGTTTTCTGGTCATTACTTCTTTATGAGCAACTTCTGATATGGTTTGTTTTACAGGATACACTTCGTCCTTTTTTAGACAGGGAGAAAATATCTGCAAATTCATTTGTACCATCAGAAAATTTGGATTGTTATAAAGCAGTAGATCAGTCTAACGGTCATGAAATTTTGGAGAGTGACTTGCATCTCCAACTATCAGCTACTAGAAGGTTTCTGTTAGGGTCTGAGAACTCTATCGAATCACCATCCTCTGTTTCACATCTTAAAGCATCTGACATCCACCATACTTCTGGTGAAATTACTTATGAAGCAAGCAGTAGAAAAGAAAATAGCACTGATTGGATGGGAACTATTCCTGTAACTCCTGGAAACACCACATACACATCAGAATTCTCAAGCATGTTGTTCGATAATAATCATTTTGGAGCTTCTCTTGGAACAGATTCAAGTTTGACTGTGGCACAGAAACAGCGGTTCAGCATCCGTGAAATTTCTCCAGAATGGGCATTTTCTTATGAGAGCACCAAGGTATGCTTTTCTCACTTTAGAATTTGTTGGTTTAAGGTTGAGCTACCACAATACATGCGATATCACACAATTCTCTTTGTTGGTTTTATGTGTACAAAGTGCCATATATGCATAGATGTAAGTTTATTGTGAAATGCTTTGGTGTCTTAGTATCTGTTTAGTTTTATAATTTTTTAGTTTAACATGCTACCCTACAATTATTAATTTATATTGATTTTGAAATATTGGAATTTTAGATTATGCAGGCTGGAAAGATTTTCATATTTAGTCCTGATGAGCTAATGATACCTGTGCCCCTCCCCCACCCTCCCTCCCTCTTTTCTCTCTTGTTCTCCCTCCTTTAGTCCCTTCCCCTCTCAAATCACTATAACCATTGTTTTTCTATCTTTGTGATTTGAGTAACATACCATACATGTTTATGTGCTGACAGAACAACATGGTATGCAGGTTATCATTACTGGAGATTTTCTTTGCAATCCCTTGGAGTCTCCCTGGGCAGTCATGTTTGGTGACATTGAGGTTCCTTCTGAAATTGTTCAAGAAGGTGTACTTCGTTGCCAAACTCCACAACATAGTAGTGGCAAAGTCACCCTATGTGTCACATCTGGGAACAGAGAATCCTGCAGTGAAGTACGAGAATTTGAATTTCGTACTAAGCCTACCACCTCTAGCTCTGGAGATATATGTACAACTGATGCAGCAAAAAATTCTGAAGAATTGTTGCTCCTTGCTAGACTAGTACAAATGATGTTATGTGGATACGATGGTTCAACAATTGCAAAAGGTGCTATCGAAACTCAACTTGAGAATTCTAGAAAAGTGAATACAACAGATGAACGCTGGCAGCAAATCATTGAGGCACTCCAAATGGGCTGTGATATTTCACTAGACACCAGAGACTGGATCATGCAAGAACTATTAAAAGACAAGCTACAGAATTGGCTGTCATTGAGACGTCAGAGCAATGAACAAACAGGTTGTTTGTTGTCAAAGCAAGAGCAAGGCATTATACATTTAATTTCTGGTCTTGGATACGAGTGGGGTCTAGGTCCAATTCTTGATTTTGGTGTTGGCATAAATTTCCGTGATTCAAATGGATGGACAGCCCTGCATTGGGCTGCACATTATGGCAGGTGTGTAGAATTGTTTATCTAACCATCTGTTATTGTCATACCTATTCTTGGATCTATTTGGTTCCCCTCTCAGACCAATAGAATATTGTTACCATATATAGCAGGTTTCAATATTCTCAAGTCAGTTGTTTTTCTGGCAAATGTGCAGAACCAATAACAAAAACCTTATATTTCATACAGAATTTGCCTAAATCTTAATTAGTGAATTAAAAGTTCTGTTGCTGATATAGGTGGAACTTTCTTTTTACCTTTTGCAGAGAGAAAATGGTAGCTGCACTTCTTGCTGCTGGTGCATCAGCTGGGTTAGTCACTGATCCCACCACACAAGATCCACTAGGCAAAACACCAGGATTCCTAGCCTCTGCTACAGGTCAGAAAGGTCTTGCTGGATATCTTTCAGAAGTTGCTTTAACTAGCCATCTCTCTTCTCTCGTTATTGAAGAAAGCGAGATATCCAAGGGTTCTGCTGAGGTGGAAGCAGAAAGAGCTGTTGAGAGCATATCTCAGAGAAGTGTTGAAATACGTGGTGGAACTGAAGATGAACTTTCTCTAAAAGATTCTTTGGCAGCTGTCAGAAATGCAGCTCAAGCTGCTGCTCGCATACAAGCTGCCTTCCGTGCCCATTCGTTCAGGAAGAGACAACTAAAATCTGCTTGGAGTTGTGATGATTATGGTATGACCCCAGGAGACATACAAGAACTTTCAGCAGCGTCAAAGGGTCATCGCCTTTATCATGGTTCACATGATCATAATTTTGATAAAGCAGCTCTATCTATCCAGAAAAAGTACCGAGGTTGGAAGGGACGTAAAGACTTTCTTACTTTGCGCCAGCATGTAGTGAAGATACAGGTACTCTAAATATGATGTGTTATTCTCTGTTGTTTATAATCATCAGAGTTTGTTATTCAGTAGTTCTGTGCAAGCATGCATGCATCAATGGCATTCCTTATATTACCAGTGTTATTAAAATTTACATGGTACAAAGGCACAATTAACTTGGAGATTGTACCAGCTTATTTATGAATTACATTAAATGATAATTTGCAATAACAATTATATATCTCGGACGCCTGTTAAAATCTTATTACACGTGTTTTATTTGCAAATCAATTCTGGATGCTGAAGGTAGTCATGTTGGTAGTCCTTCCCGAAGTGGATTGAGAGACACCAAGTTGAAAATCTATTTGTTACTTGTTGATAAAATTTCTGACATGAGATTTTGATTGACACAAGAATTTTTCTGAATAAAGAATAACTCACGAAATATATGGAACAACTAAGACTCCTAAAAATCTTAATACTATTTAATAGTCATCAATTCTGAGTTATTCAAGTGGATGAGACTGATCTCCCACAAATTTGTTCTCATCTCGTCCTGATAGGGATATTGTCTCAGTTTTGACATCTATGACTACTACTTTCTTTTACCTAGGTTCTTTTTTTATTATAATAGATTACTATTCTATTATTGAGTATCATATCTAGAATAAAGGATTTTTATATAGCATTAAAATTCAGTTTCCTGTTGAAATTTGATGTTTGATTGTCCTTAAGCAGATCATTCCTCATCTTACGTTCTGTTGTAAATGCAATACTAGGAAATGGGAGGTCTCTGAAATTTAATTGGGAAAGCAAATTGGATACATATATATTGCTTTTAATGGAATAAAGGCTTACAGTTCCCTCACATTCTTTTGTTTCATCAACTTTACAGGCTCATGTAAGAGGCCATCAAGTACGAAAGAAGTATAGAGAATTTGTTTGGACAGTTAGTGTCATTGAAAAGGTCATATTGCGGTGGCGTAGGAAAGGAGTTGGCTTACGAGGGTTTCGGGCTGAACCAGAAATGGTCCGTGATGAGGAAGAAGAAGACATAACTAAGATTTTCAGGAAGCAAAAAGTGGATGCAGCTGTCGATGAAGCTGTTTCAAGGGTTCTGTCGATGGTAGAGTCCCCTGACGCAAGGCAGCAGTACCGCCGCATGCTTGGGCGATACCACGAAGCCAAGGTAAAAAAACCAACCTAGATTGGAACCAGTTACGTGACATACATTGAAGGCCTAGATTTAACAGAGGTGTTTTATTCAATGACTTTATATTTGTTTGTACAATTCCCATGAAATCTGTCCATTGATCAAGTGAAATGATTATTATACCTGCTAAAGGCATCACATCTTGCAAGAACCATTCATTTTGAAAGCATGTACTATTCTTAATGGATTTCTTGCAAATTCATTTTACTGAATAAATGTCTAATAACTTTCCTGCACCTATGGTTTGATAAATGGGAGGAACATGAGCTGTAGGACAAAGATATCTAATTCAGTCTTCTAGTGCTTTACAAATTTATGTATATATTAGATAGCATGAGTTTATTTTTTGAAATTTCCTAAATCTCTAAAGTAGATATGACAAATCTGTGGCATACTGAACTTGTCTCTTACATGAATATGATACATGTTTGATATGTGTAGTCCACCGGAAGAGAATAAAAAATAGCAGAAATCCATTCCCCAAAAGAAAATGGAGAAAATAATGTTGTTATAGATCTCAAGTAACATTCCTAGAGTGTCCTGCTAACTTTTACTCAAGTTCCGTATCTTTTGTAATGCATTAAGTAGATTTCAAGTCATGTTTCTGATGGTTGTTTTTACACAACCTGCAGGCTGAGTTTAGCAATTCAGATGAAGCAACATCAAGACTTCGAGATGATTTAGAGGCCATAGACAATGACTTTATTTATTGACGCAGATCAACATCTTGCACTTACTAAATGATGTGAAGCTTGAGAGAATTTAAATGGTTGCTGTGTTGATAATTTTATGGGATTTAACAGCTTATACATAGTGTTTGATGTAAATTATATATACTGTTGTAGATATAAATTAATGACACAATAGCTTGTAAGGCAATTAGGGTGCTGCTTCTGATATAACTGAAATCTGGAAATGTGTTCTTTCTTGTATGTCTATTGAATGCAATGGAAAAATTATTTGTAATGAATCATAGATGGCTCTTTTGTCACTCTACTGTGGACAACATTGAGAGACGAAGAAAGGGTTGTGAATCTTATTTTGCTGCTGTAGCATCTGAGAATAGCCCTATACTATTCAGCTCCCCATATTCGGTGATTTGTCTCAGGTGAGATTTTGAGTTAACTGTCTGCTTTATTTTAACAAAGGACAGTTTCAATGTTTACCAAGGACTAAAAATTTGTTGCTACTATTGATCTTATCTGGAGACATGGTTGCAAGATGAGCTTAATGATATGGGGCATCTCAATCATTGGGGGGTGGCAAAATATTGATCTCAAAGTCCTTTGTGCTTATTAGAATTAAAACCATGAATGTTGAGAACAAAGATAAATTTACTTCTATGGTTATGAACTCATAGTCTACAACAAGTATTGGTTCGCTTCTGAATGTATCAGAAAACGTTAGAACACATTATGTATGTACCCATGGCTCATATTCTAAATGGAATAAGATAAATGGAAATAGATTATCTACATTAAAAATAAAAAGAGGAGGGGGATTTGTTGCAAATGCTAAGCATCGTAAAACGATCAAAAGTTTAAAGTTAGGATCAGAGTCAAAAACGCAAAATTAGGAATATGTATGAAGGAGGGCGTAGAGTTTAATCGGAGTTTTTGAAACTATTGACTTCAAATAAAAAAAGAGACAATTTTATCTAAAATGTGAGATTTTATCATCAATCATTTCATCTAAAAATTTAAAGATAAATTCTCAAAAAAAAAAAAAACTTTCCCCCATAGAATACCATTTATTTCTAAAAGATGTGATTACCCTTTCATTTCGCTGTAGTCGTTTTCTTCGTCTCGTCGCATTGTTGGCTATCGTGACCACCTTCATCGCCTTCTGAAAATTTTCTCCACGGTGATTCTATTGTCAGCTATGCTCTACCACAATGATAACCCTTGTTGTAACAATTTCCATGGTGACAACCTCCATGGTGATAACCCTCGAGATTTCCCTCTCTTGACTCCCTTGACGAAGGCGCGAATGCTAAGGTGAAGGAACGAAGGTCCTTGTCATGTTATAAAGCATGGGGCATACAACATGTGCGATGATCTTATTGCCTCCCTTAGTCGTTGCTCTAGCCCGCCTCTCTCGATCATATTGCACAATCTCCCATCATCGACGATAATGTCTATGGCCTCAAGGGTGTTGAGCTCATTGTTATATGACTCTAAAAAGAGGAGAATGTTTTTATGGAGGAGGTCTGAGGGCTCAAACCAATGGTGGCGGAGGGAGGTGAGCGGGCGAAAGGTAGAATCCTCTTCAAAGATGTCAAGGATCCGGATCTCCATCATACCACGATAGTGTTCATATGGGACAAAGGAGACAATGATGCAATGGATACCAACATCACAATAAGTATTGGCATTGGCCACCAAGAATTGTGTTACGTGAATCCAATGATGTAACGATAGGTCAAGGACTCAATGTTCACATAGAAAAATCCTACCATTGGCCCTTGGTCCGACGACCCCAAACGGTAGTTGGAGATGGATGGTAGATAGCACAACAAGGTAAAGATGGCCACACTGAGCAAATGGATAATATCATCTTTTTAAAAAATAAAATGTGCTATATGAAAATTAATTAAAAAATTAAAAAGTTATCCAAAACTTAAAACCATAAGATGAGACATGATTTATATTATTCATCTTTGGCCTCACCTATAGACGGTCAGCCCAAATTTATTGGGTTTGACTTGTGTGTGGCATTCTTCCCCTGATACAATCTTAAATCTCTTGAACATTGACCTTTCATTCAAAAGTTTATGCCAGACAGACATCATCTCTATTCTTAACAAGCTTCGAGAATCCTTTATGCTGGACGTCATCTATATTCTCAACAAGATTAGAGAATCAATCCTCTTGGATTATTCTTTAATCCATACGAATAGTGAATAATTATCTTCATAAGATTAAGATGAATTCGAGTAAGGGATTTAAGAACTGCACAAGTCGTGCCACGTGTCAGAATGGGGGTCAGTTTGACTCATTAAACACATGCTTCGAATCCATCCTAAGGAACAGCATAGATTGCATCAGGTTCTGCCATGGAACGTGCAAAGAACACGAATGAGAAGGTGGAGGTGGTGCACGAGGCCCTTCATCAACTCCTGGAGGAGCGGAAGCGACGCCGCAAGGAGGAGGAAGAGGAAGACCTACTCCTCTCCAACTTGCTCCTTCGGGTTGGTTCCCTTGTTCCTCCCATTCTGTAGAGACCGGCAATTGTGTTAACCTAAGCAATCGATTATTTTGGAAACCCCCCACTCTTGGAGTTCTTTGGGAAAGGCACTCGCGTTCTCACACAAATGCTAGTATTCATTCCCTAGACAAACAGAAACCATTTGTCGAAGGGGTTTGTGTGACAAGTTATTGTGTTCATCGCATTAATGCTCACTAGAAACCGATAGTTCAGAATAAGAGAAGAGAGATGCCCGATGTTGTTCTAACCATCATCTGAATCTTAAATCAGAGTTTCCTTCCTTTGCCATGAATCTCGTTGATGAAAAGATAAATATCAAGTGTCCATCAGCTATGAAATCATCTGTATTGTTTCCCTGATGTCACAGAATTTCCCAGTGTATCGAACCATAACAAATGGCTTCTCCTTCATCTTACTGATTTCTATGTTAGCTCAAGACTCTGTTTGCAATTTGACTCTCCTGTGGATGTTGCATACATGTTACAGAATTTTCCAATGTATTAAATCATAACAAATTGTTTCTCCATGGTCTTATTAATTGCTATATCAGTTCGAGATTGTGATTGCAATTTGACTCTTCTGTGGATGTTGCCTTACGTTTCACCAATGTATTAAGCCATATCAAATTGTTTCTCCTTCATCTTCTTAGTTGGTATGTCAGTCTGTAATTTGACTTCTGTGGATGTTGCATACATGCCTTGGAATTCCCCAATGTATTAAACCATAACGAATTATTTTCCTTCATCTTATTATTAATTGCTATGTCAGCTCAACATTGTGTTGCGTACATGTCACAGAATTAATCAACTATCTCTTCTGTGGATGCTGTATACCAGTTGGAATCCTTAGAGAAGGATGGCATCGCTACCGAAGGGCCGGAGGAATCAGCTATCGAAGAAGAGCCTGAATTCTCCAAGCCTGTCAGCCAAAACTGTGAAAAAAGGGAGGTTGGCATGGATGAAATAGCAAGGGAGCTTAGAAAAGTAAAGAAGCAGAATCTCATTACCCATTGCCTTCTATCTGTCATGCTCGTCATTACTGCAGTATGGCAATTCAACGAGGTCTCCCTTCTGCTCGCGGTCAGGGATAAACTGAGCCACCCCCTCAGAACCGTCGGTGATGTGGTCAAGCGGTGTCTGAAAGGAAATGGCAAGAGGCCGCAGATTGAAGCACTTCCTTTGCCACCGATTGCTGTGCCAGAGCTGTCTAATGCGGATTTGCTGCCCTTGACTCTGAGAAGCGAGGAATGAATCTCTTCGTCGCATGATACTTAGCCACCAATTGCCGTGCCAGAGCTACCTAATGTGATTTTCCCATCCTCGACTCTCGGCAGCGACGAATCAATCATGTGAGAGAATGATCAGTATTGATGCACCCAAGTGTTCTCTTCGTCGCATTGAATGCGACATTTCAGTTTCCTTGTGGATCTTGTGCCATTATCCATTTGAAACCTTGCATTGGACATTTCAGTTTCCTTGTGGATCTTGTGCCATTATCCATTTGAAACCTTACATTTCAGTTTCCTTGTGGATCTTGTGCCATTATCCATTTGAAACCTTGCATTGGACAATTTCAGTTTCCTTGTGGATCTTGTGCCATTATCCATCCAAAACCTAAGTATTATCTCAAATTGTGTCCAATTTAAATGTGTAAAGGATATACTTAGCAATCCAAGTATCACTTTTGTCCCCAGTGCTCTTTGCTAATGATCTGAGGCTGGCGCGAAGCAAGTAATGTTAGCAATAGAAATTGATACACCAACATGCCTGCCAGAATGACAATTGTATCTGTGAATTCATATCCATTCTTATGGGAGACATTTTTTAGTAGGATTTTTTTATTAAATAATCCAGAAATTTGTTCATCGATATGGTTGTTTTCCATGCTTAGCAACTCTATTCGAGAGAAAAAGTATGTTTTATTTCCAATTATTAGTGTGTATGTGTGAATATTTTTGGGATGAGGTTAAGAACTTGAAGAGTGAATATTATTTCCGTACATGCGTATGCATGCGTGTGTGAATATTATTTCCAAACATAAATTGCAATGAAGAAACTGAAACACCTTAAGAGTGATAACTGAGGTTGTCATGATCATTAAATAGGTTGTAAGGAGGAGTTCATTATGGATAATACGATATATTGTGGTCTAGTAATTATTTAATCCAACATTAGAAATGAGACAATCACTTAAGATTCTTTTGTGGTCTAGTAATTATTTAATCCAAAAAAAATGCTTAAAATCTTTCCAGATATTGTCTATTTCATAGGGTGAACCAGAAACTCTTTCCAGCTTACAACAGGAATGAACACAGGTAAATTACAAGTTGAACAGCATTCCAAGTAAGCAATTGTTTCAAAGCATGAAGCAGATGTTTGCAAATTGGCATCATGACGAGAAACACAAGTACCAATTTGAATGCACTCCAATCACATCAGCAGCAACCAAAGAAACAAGGGATAGTGTCACAAAGAACAGCAAATTCATGACTAATCTGCATATAAATGTTAACAGAATCAGTCTCATCTAAGGAAGGAAGGTTCGGACACGAAGAAATGATCACAGTTTCACTCTTCTGTATCCATAAAAGATTCAAAATCATTTTCAAAAGTCCACCACCCAACCAGAAGGAAAATAAAATAAGGAAAAACAACCACCCTTCTTCAAACCATGACCTATGACAACGGCATAGCATGTGCCACTCGGCCACTGCCGCCTCGTCGATATAGTTTAAAAGATTTCTCAAGCATAGTTCAGGCGGAATATGTCATTCAGCACATAGAAACTTCCCTGAGGTGTTGGCATCAGATGAAACATCTACAACAAAAACACACAAACCAATCAGTATCCTTGAGTAATAGAATCAATATGTCATCTGCTGTCATGAATCAATGCATGTAAACAAAATAAAAAAGATGCAAAACCATTACCTAAGGCAAATGAGCAGAAAAAAAAAAAAAACTGACCAAGTTGCTTTGGCAAACTAAAACAACAAAACTCAATAATGGTAAGCACATTTGAAGTCGAGGACAACAGGATAAGTAGTAGGTATCAAATATCTAAAAGATACAATCTGTGGGTGGAAGAGGGCAGAGAAGGAGAGCAGGACAACAACATTAATTAAGATAAATCTTCAAAACATAATATAAATATTCTAAACTTGGCAGAAATGCTACAGTTTGTGATTTTTTTATATATGATTCTATTTTATGCATGAAACACCCATAATAGCCTTCTCTTAGAAGTGTCCCCAAATGTACATTTCACCAATACCATGAGGTAGAAATTGCTATCATGCTGTTAAGACATTTCTGGCATCCTTTTAACACACTGCATAGTTCTTCCATTTCACAACATGGAATATCCAAGCAAGCATCTCTCCTTAAAGGAGCCTCTAGATTCGCTTGATTCACAATGCATTTTAACTAGTAATTATTAAAGAAGAAACAAACAAGCATACATACAAATGATATTGGAATACCATGCTATGCAAGAATGATAATATCAACACTAATGGTGATAACAATATGAAATACTCTACCCAAGGAATCATATTTCGGTTGTACTGAGCGGTGCACTCAAGAAAAACACAAGGCGTGGTACTCGATCAATATTTTTTATTATTTTTATCTGGTGATACTGGGTGGTGTGGGTATGTATACCGCTGATATACCCAGTACTATACCAATTTGACTGGTTATTGAAATTGGTACCAGACCACGCTTCAAATCTTTGATTCGTCCAATAGGCAAAAACCGGGCCATAGGAAAAAAGAACATAATGATATAACAGCAAGGCATGGATAAAGAAAAAGGACACCAGATAGTGCGTTTATCAGATAGCAAGTTATAGGGCTTTCATCAATGATATTCCTGAAAATGGATTTGTGAACAAAACCTGCAACAGCTAAAGTGCAGATCAATATCTTTAAAAGAACTAACATCTAACTGAAAAGAAATTACTTCATCACGTGAATCAACAAACAACTAAAGTTTTGACATACAAGAGTTGAACACTGTATAAACATATGACAATAAAATACTAGTTTTCACATGATGTTGTACATAGCTTTGAGTGGTTGACGACATCAGACAACAACCTGATCAGACAACAGCCTGAAAGTAAGCATCTTTCTATTCGACTAATTTGGAAGGACTTAATAAGCATTTTGGACAAAATCACCAAAAAGGCAAGGGGTCCAACTACTTGATAAAATTCACAAACACCAAAGGAAGAATGGTTACATTGTTGATGACACTACATGGAAACTTGGACAGAGCAATTTTATGATATATTGGTAAATAGTTTTATTTGCATTTGGTGCTGGCTGGAATCTTACATGTTCACAACCAGGAAACCTTTCATTTCTCATCAAGAGAGATCCAATTATTATTCAAGATGTATTTAGATCAAACCAAAATTTTTCCTTTCCATTTGAACCAATAAGTGGTTTAACCGTGAACAAATTTTATGATTCATGTGAGCCAATTGTATGAACCATGTTGGTTACAGGGGAAGTACCAGTTTAAGGAGGCAAAGGATTGACTATTTTAAGTCAACTGATATCCAGCTTCTTAATTAGGATAAGAGAAAAGGAGTTTTGGTGGGATAAGCGAGAGGTTGACAACTCCTCTCTCATGTATAATGTTTTTCTCCTTTCTGCACATGATTTCTCGACTGAAGTTTCTCTTTCCTCTATCTGCACCTAGTGCCTGATTTTCTCCTCACGTAGAGGTGATCGAGGTGTGTCACCAGGCTTTTCATTGGGTTTCAAGAAATTGAAACAACTTTAGTTATTCCTCTTCTTGATGGTAACAATAGGAAATTATAATAGAAAAGTAAAATAAATCATTTTCATACAGTGTTCTATCATCAGCTCCAGCCTAAAAATTAGATTACAAGATTCATCCAAACCAATGTTTGCACATCACAAAACTTCTTAGCAATTATCATGCAACAAACCGCATTTCCCAAAACTGTCACAAATATAGTCTACAATATTTGCAGACTTCAAGGTCTACCACTACACATGTGTTTTGTTACGAGATAAACGTTGCTAGATAGGTTTAAATAACAGAATCAAAAAGAGAAGAAGAAAGATATAACAAGTAAAAATAGAGGAAGAAACAAAATAGGAAACTAAAAGTATAAGAAATATCAGACTCTCACTCAAAATTATATAGATGACTTAATCAATATATACATAGAAATTTAAACCTGCTTGGGCTCTTAAGAACAGTTCATATAACAATAAAACAATTCTATATTAAATGGATTCTTAGTCAAACTCAACATAAGAAGACCAAAAGAATGTTGCATCTGATGTTTCTATTTTCTATCAACAAACAAAAATATAAAAATCAAGTGGAAATGCTTTACCAACACATAGATCAATCCTAGACCCAAGGAATGAATAAAACCTAATGTAAAGTCTCAAAGAACTTGACCCAATAAACCTTATTATCATCAAAAAGGAAGATAATTAACAAACAAATATAGATCATCAGATCTTTCTTTAAAATCGAAAAAAAAAGAGAAAAAACAACGGAAATCACGATCCATCAACCGATCAACATGGATATAGAATAAAGTAGACATGCCGATCTGATCGAATCAACCAATCGATAGACGAAAGGCGCAAACACAGAGAGAGAACATACCTGGCTGAACTTGAGGGTGTGGGACTCGCCAGCGAGCTGGAGGGAGCCGCTGACGAAGACAAGCATGCCGCCGGGGGGTCCCGAGGGCTGGAAGTCGACAGTGGAGATGGCGTGGGCGCACTGCTGGAAAGGTAGGGAGGTGAGCTTGGCGACGATCGCGGCGGCGCCCTGAATCTTGTCGCCCTCGAAGGTGAGCATGGAGGCGTCGTGGTACAAGCCCGCCAGAGCTGCCCTGTTCCCGTCGAACGTCCGATAGTAGTGGTCCACGAACGCCTTCGCCACCGCTTCCGGATCCATCACCGCCGCCGAAGATACCTCTCGCCTTTCACACTTTCTCCTCAGCCGTAGAGAGAGGAGAAGCGGAGAGGCCGTGCGGCGATAGATACTTTGTCCACCGGTCCGGCCCCTGTTAGGAGGAACTATAAAAACCTAACAAGTCATCGGCTAACATCCTCCATCTGAACCTTAGAATCCAATTTTAAAACGTTACTACTTTAACAGCCCCTTTTTATTGCCTATTATTGATAATTTTAAAAAAATAATAAAATTTTATTTTAGTCACTTAAAAACTTTATATTGAAATATCTATATTATCGTGAAATTTTTAACTTCATTCACCCTAGGGTCATCGGTTTTACCAACAAACATACAACACATTTAGAAATGATATGAAAATAATGAACAAAAAAAATAATTTTAATATCCTAATTACGTTTTTAGTGTTGGTGGACGACGATACCACTGGAGGTTGTAATTGATGAGACGCTAAGGTCTTGGAGGGAGAGGATGAGCATTTGCTTTTGCATCGCTCGACAAAGGAGAGAAGGATGAGCGATACTCGACATCCCCACATCATTTTGTATCGTTTATCCTTTTTCGCTCGTTACGCATGTTAAGCGATAAAAGGGGAAAGAATGATGAGGGATCAGAGAAGGAGGGAAGAAGGATGAGCATCACCCTTCCGTGCATCATTGTCAGTGCAATATAGAGCAATGTCACTCTACATCTACGTTGATGTCGATGCGGATGTTAAGCGGCCCTTTCGTTGCTTTATAGATGCGTTGGCGTCAATGCAATTGTCAAGGAGCAACAACACAGATATAAAATGTTGACATATGCATAGTCCTCTTCCTCCTTTCCCTTTACCTCATCTCTCATTGTCACTCTTCCTCATCATTATTCTCCTCCTTTGGCAATAAACCACATAAGTCCCTATCGTTCTTATAGACTAGTGTGTCGTTCTCGCCAACCACAACCACCCACAGCCGTCAATAACGTCGTCATCCGTCACTACTAAAAACATAATTAAGATATTAAAATTATCTTTTTGTCCATCATGTTTATGTCATTCTTACATGTGCTATATCTTCCGTCGATATTTTAATGTAAATTTTTTAAATTTAAATATCGATATACTAAAGATATCTAATTACAATGGATAATGGATAGAGGAGAAGCAGATAGGTCCTGCGACGATAGAGACTTTGTCCACTGGCCTAACCCCAATTTTAAAAGGTTACTATATCTTTCGTCGATAAATACTTTGCCCATCATTTTTATGTCATTTCTACATGTGCTGTCGTGTGTTATATCTTCCATCGATAAAACCGATGATGTTAGAATAAATAAAATTAAATATTTTATTTTCATAAGTATAAATATTTGTATATAAATTTTTTAAATTTAAATATCAAAATACTAAAGATGTCTAATTACAATAAATAATGAGTATGGGTAGAGGAGATGCAAAGAGGTCCTGCAACCACAAATACTTTGTCTACTAGTTTGACCCCAATTTTAAAAGGTTATTAGTTTGACAGCCCCTTTTTACTGCTTATTATTGATTATTTAAAAAAAATAAAATTTTATTTTACTATTTACTACCACTACGATCGATTTTACCGATAATTCAGCACTAAAAACAATCAGATTTAACTTCTAGAGATAGATGTTAAGAAATGTGACTGTTGACTGTTTTACTAAGAACAATCAGACTTACTAATCCCTGTCAACGACAAAAAGGTGAAAGATAATATGGCGATGAGGTGTCAGAAGTAATCTAAACCATGAAAAACTAGTTCATCGTGGCATATAGTTGCCTCGCCCTGTGATCACATAGCTTATGAATGATCCCATCAACTTTATTTAGTGACATGTGCTTGCAAAAATATTATTGACGCAGTAAAGAGGACCACAGTTGCAAGAAAATGATACAACCCTCCAATGCCATAGCTAAAAATTCACACAACTACATGATCCAAATAATACACTGTCAAGTCAGATGTTTTTGGAAGCCACTCATAATTTAGTCAAACTTAAAGAACTTGATCAGAAAACAATTAAACATCCAAAAATTAGTACGCATAAACGTCAGTAAAAAAATATTAAGGATCAATTTCATGTACCTGAAAAATGTGGAAGCATGATAATCAATCCAGAAAGAGCAGTAGCTTTGCCAATCACAATGAACCTTCAAAACAATAAGGTCATGTGGAGCTGTAGCTACATCTTTTTTTCATCCTAATGATGGGTTAGCAACAGAAGCAAAGGCTAAAAGTACAGTAGTTGTTTTCTGTTTCCAGATGGACACTTAATAGATGATTTTGCATAATAATTTACATATCTCCCAAGATTCAATTTCCAGAGCACAAAAAGGAAAATTGAGAGCTTTGCAATGTCTGTCAACCTTGGCCCAGCTGAAGATCATACAGAACAAGGACTCTGCCACATTGCAATGTCAGTGATCAGATCTCGAAGTTGATCAATAAGAAGCTTGAGATGCTTGTTCTTGTTTTCGAGTTCCTGCAACCATACAGTGACAGAGTTGAACAGACTTAGTATGTTTCTACACAATGTTTTAGTGTGAGAGTATGGACCAATTCCATGTTCAGATGACCGAGCCCATAAGAAGTCGTGGTCTAGGACGCCATGTTTTCCGCATTTCAACATTAAAAAAATCTGAGCAGATCTAAATTTGGAATATACTTTAAAAGACAAAACTGAATGAATACGGTACGTAAGTGCATGATATAGAAATAAATTCTTCTGCAGAACTTGAAAAATAATGTAACAGCTGGCATATTAAAAAAAAGGAAAAAAATCAAGATCTTGAGGGTCATACTAATTTGCTAAACTTGTCATGTAACTTCGGTAATTATCTTTCTCCACTATTTTTTTTTCATTTCATCAGAAGGTGGAGATGACTGTAAAAGGAATTTTGGTGCAACAGATTTAAATCATCAATAGAGAATCTTTTGGTTCATTCTTCTCCAAATTGTACATTTCTCTCCTCACCTAATATACCTGATACTTAGGCAAGCAAGAAATTAGTATATTCCAGTATAATTTTGAGAAGTATTATAGAACCACAGAGAAGAAAAGGATGGTAGCAGAAATATAAGTAATTTTTTAACTTTGATAGTTTGAGAAGAATGCTGTCAGTCTGAAGGTTCAAGTCGACAATTTTTGTTAGCTGGTACAAATAATAGTCGTTACTGTTATGTCGATGTAGAACTCTTAGAATACAAACTCTTCAAACTACAAACATATCATAACCAATGTATATGTGAACAACCTCTTTATGCAATAAGTGAATTTAAGTTCTCATGTTAAAGGCCAGAAAGATATGCCACCATCTAGCAGCACTAATTTATAAAATCAGAAAAAACAAAATTCTTCCTGAAGAGCTACTACTAGGCTATAGTTAATTTTGCATCAGCTACAAAAGGTGATAGCATAAATAAGCTGCTTGAAATTGATACTAAGTCACAGATGAGCACAACTTTCAAAGCTAGGAAACTGGATTATCAACTGCAAATCCAACTTTATAAGATTATATATAAAATACAATGTCAGAGGTGATGCATCTAAACAAAAAAATTTGATTCAAGGCGGAGAAGAAACTTCCCAAGCCATCAACAATTATAATGTAATGATAGGGGCAATCAACAATCAACCTAATATTTTGACCATTCGTGAGCAGAACTTGGTCATTCATGTCTAAGATCTGGTCTCTGTTGATTTACTCGGTAACATACAAATTGTTTTACAGTATACCTGATGGTGATCTATCTCCAGAATCCACATTAGAGTGAAGCAAAATTAGTTTCAGAAGTATGAACCAAATACTCCAAACCATAAACACAGTGGACAGAATATAAGGCAAGATTCAAGTCTCCACAAATACAACCTGTTCCTGTGTTTCTGCCATCTTACAGAAAGAAATACTACCAAATTGTAATACTGCATGGTACAGTTGGTCAAATAATGGTCTCTGAGTTACCACAAAATTAAACGTCGACTGTAGTATAATAAAATTCATCATGCTGAATAATACGATACAAAAGTAAACAGGTAATTGTCTCATCTAGTGATACTTGATTATCATGATTTTACTTGATTGCTCCAGAGATCACGAAGCACCATATTGCACTGTAGATAAAACTGGTGAAAGAAGCAAGATGATCAACTTCAATAAATTGGTTTCTTGTCCCATTACCAAGCTTTAACTTTGACACTTTAATGCATCCCTCCATAACGCAACAAGTCATGACAATAGGCTGGAGAATAAAATACACCTCCATTTACCCCATGCATTATCAACATCTTACTGCCAAATACAACCTCAGCTACCCAACAGTCATCTATTCGATCAAAACAAGCTACTTTATTACCTTAAAAAAAATCCTAGTTCAAATGATGTTTGATTCTTGATCTTTGAAATTCTAATGAAGCATTGCAAAGATCTTCTGAGAACAAATTCAATAAATTTGGATCTGTTTTGGGATTAGTACTGGAATTTCCGTTTGGGTCACTTGATATCAACTTGATTAGAATGTTGAATTGAAGTTTCAGTTAATAAAAAAGGATAGAGAATCCATATTAAGAATCACAAAATTTAGAAAATAGGAAAATTCACAAAATTTATGAAACTCGTGAAATAGAAATAGTATAGGCAAAAGAGTTGCAAAATCAGAATTCTCTTCAACATGTCTTTCTTTCATTATTTTTTCCTCTTAGGTTTGCTTCTTGCACATATTTGAGGGATATTGTCACAAGAAAAGGGGAGGTTGCACATAATGAATAATTGAAGTTTTCGTCTTGTTTCTTGGTTGTCAGGACCATTGCTTTGCAAAAGAATCCAATTAATCTCACTCAGATATGCTCTCCCATGGACAAGTCTAAATTTCTGCAATTTTTCAAAGCTAATCCAATTCTGAGACCCAACATCAAACCCATAAATAAAGATTTTCATGGTAGACTAAACAGACTTTGGGATTTACTCATTTCTTAAACCTTGTTTAGGATTTTTCAAACTCCTATATTTATGAAACAAAAACGAACATTTAACTGATGTAATCTCAAAAAACAATGAGAAAAGCATAAGCACTCACTTGGGTAAGGCCAAACAACTCTTTACACCGGATGGTCTCAGTAGCATATCTTTGTGTCTAGCACCAAAAAAGCATAGTTCACGGTATCAGCCAACGCCGATACAATACATCTAACTTGCGGAAGTATCATCTAAGACCAACCCTATTTTGGCTGATCGGCCTTATAGCTAGAAACAGATTGGATTTTACTGGAATGGATCAGACTAAACTGGAGCTGATTGATTTTTGTCCCACACCTCAAAAGGAAAAAAAGAGGAGAAAGTGGAAATAAAGGAATGAAGCCAAAATAGAAGAAAATACAACCTGACTATAACTATGATAAAAATTACTACTATTTTGTTTGATATCTGTTGTAACCATAATATTTGCCTTTTGCTGCCATTCTGGCAATGTTTGTTGTCCAAATGAAGGAAAAAAAAAATCAAGAAAGAAAAGATATGGTTAAATAATAGACTCTAACCTCTTAAGATAATAAAAATGCCATGAGATTCATGAATAATCTCAGGCTCCACAAGAACACTCTTCAGATGAAATTTTTAGTTGTCTTTCCATTACTTAATATTTCAAACATACGATGATCAGAGAAGCATTGGCGTTACAATCGGATCTATCACTGTCTTCAAACCTGAAATTGGATTAATTTTAAATCTTTTGTATGACAAATAAAATAATAACCTATATATTATAATCTTTGCATGATATGACCAATAATTTATTTTCTAACAAAATTACATGATAACTATATTTTATGTATAATTCTCCATTCATTTATTGTCTATAAATTCTTTTACATTTTTTATTCATGTGTTTAGGAAGTTGGATATTTTATGAAGTCTGAACATAAAAGGAATTTCTCGCATAAAATTTCAATGGCTAAACGTGAAAGATGAAATAGCAACCATCAAATTCTGCAAAATTGCCTTATGATTATAAAAGAATCTTTGATTGACTAAAAGGGAAGATAGCAATAAATAAATGAGAGAAACACTGATGTTGACATGCTATATAATTGATGAAGAGCATATAAATTGAAAGGTTGGTGCAAGAAGCAAAACTATTATAATAATTAAAATCATAAACCCCAGCAGTGTAAATTTTCTGTAAGGTCTGCACATATAACCACATAAATACCTTTCTTAAAGAAGATGCCCGCTCTTCCAGTCTCTCAAGTTCAACTGCATCTGCTCTGGAATCCAATGCACCTGCCTCCTGCGATTATCAACAACCAAGAAATCATTACCATTTAGAAACCGCAGAACCACAATGACAGAAATCAGATTTTCAATAGTATATTTCAAAGGATGACAAAAAATCGCCTCGATACTGTGTAAGACACTTGAATCACAAATAGAATTCTTCTTCAAATATCCATCTAACTTTCCAATCTGTGGAAAACCTGAAACGGTTCGAACAGTTCAATTTATGACAAATTTTCACGAATTTTGGCATCGAATCACGGACCTGTGTGGCGCTTGGAATGGCGGCGATACAAGAACGAAGGGCAAGGACCGCAGACTTGTAGCGTAGCCGGGCCTCGTCGAGCACTCCGCCGCCGCTGCCGCCACCCGCTTCCGACGGGTGCGAGGAGGAGTCTACTGGCGCATCGCCAGCACCTGCCAAGGCTGCGGAGGGATGGCCAGGGGAGAGCGTGGACCAGAGGACGGGGTTGCAGAGCTCGTCATTCATGGAGGAGAGGATCTGGAACGCCGCGTTGATGGTCTCCTCCAGGTGCCTCTGCCCCTCGACCCCCAACTCTTGCTTGCTCTTTGCCGCCATCAAACGATCTCCAATTCCTCTCTCTCTGTCTCTCTCTTCTCTCTTCTCTCTTCTCTCTTCTCTCTCTCTCACACACAAAATCTCTCGCCCAAGCCCTATTTGACGTCCCGTCGATCTGGAAAACCCTAATTAATTCGAGACAAAGCGGGAAGACCCGGTGCTGTTTACTCATAAAACTACGCTGCCTCGCCTAGCCGCAAAAATACTCTTCCCAATCGCCTCAGGTAAGCGGAAAAAATGTAATTCTTACCTGCCTTTTGATTAGAGAAAGCAATACATCTAGAGTTGGTCCCAACATGTGGTCATTGCTTCCTCCAATCATCAGACAGGTAATCTAGTGGGGAGACGAAGGTCGGGAAACCCTAGAGCAAGTAGGGGAACGCGCTCACCGATTCCATTTATGAATACTCGCCACGTAAGTAGAACAGTTTATTATTTTTTACTCTGGAGGAATACCAGACCTGGTAAATGGGACAAGTCTACCCGTGAGTCTTCCGTGTCATCGCTCTTCGGAGAGACGCGAGGTGAACCATCGACGATCGGAGAGCTCTTTCTTCGAAGACGCGAGGTGAGTTCGATCTTTGTTCAAAATAGAGATTTTCTTCTCCTTTTAGCGATAGTTTCCTGCTCCTTTCTTCATTTTGCTTCCCTTCTCTGATTGGACACAGTTCTCACGGAGAACCGAAAAGGGGGTTTTCTCCCTTTAAATATGTTACGTATATCCTAGCTTTTTCTTGTTAACGATAGATAGCAGAAAACATGTGAAGTGTTTATTAACAACGGTAGAGGAGACAGAATCTTGATGTAGAAATTTATATGACCATAATCTACAGATCTAGATGAACCTTAAACACGTCATGTAGAAATTGTATACCTGGAATTAATATTTTGCCAACAAATCTTTGGAATAAAGGTGGAATCTTGTAGTTGAGAATTGCGTTGGAAGCTTACAAAATAATTGACAAGTAGGGATATCAGTTAGATTCAAGTAGACACTGAAGATTGACATGCGTCGAAACAAGGAATTCGATCTGGGGTATCAGACCTGTACCACTCCTGGCTCGGAACTAGAATCGATCTATCTGTAGATCCTGTATCCAAAACCACTGGACATAAGACTGTTTTTAAAGAGAAAAATTAACCTTCTTCTTCTTAATCAGAGCAAGCCCATTTGGTAAAGTCCCATAAAATATTCTATATCGGCTAACTAAATTAATGCTATATGTAAATCTAGTTCGACTAAAGTTGGAGTGATTAGACCCCCACAATCAATACTTTCAAAGGGTTTGAACATATATTGAAAACATAAAAGCATTTGAATTTTTTAAATTAATTTTTACGAGTATGACTACATATTGATTCTTCCTAGGGAGTCTCGTGCACTAGGCTCGTCCAGATTCTTGGACTTTGCCAAGTTGCTAGCTACCAAACATTAGGAAAATTATGATGTTGCGATGCAAAACCATTTGGAAGCTTGATAGAAAAAGCAAAGGGTGGTGACCATATAAGGATGTGGAATGGAAGGTGGCTTACCAATGTGGAATTAAACCCATTCCCACATGTCACACTCCTCTCCATTTGCTAATATCTTTCTCCTTCCAAGCACTCGAAAATTAAAACCCAAAATGGTCATTTACAAAAGTCAATCTATTTAAAATTCATAATATATATAAATATAAGGGTATCAGTAAATAATCACTTGTATGATTGCCTATTTACAGGTGGAGTTCTTCTCACATATTCTTTTAGCCTAAAGGAGTAGAGGAAGGAACTATAATACCTTGCCATTTTATGTTTAGTCCAATTCTCAACTAGCTAAGACTACTGTTTACTCTAGGGAAAACCAGTAATAGTTAGGTTGTATAGTAATCAAGAAGTCACCTATATGGAAGTTGAGCAAGAGACGTGAGTGGCTAGGATGAGGTAGATATTATCACAGTAAATTTCTGTTCGTTCCATAGTGCTAGGCTGGTCATGTGTGATACTCCTCTCTTCATTACTAATAAAGAACCTGCAATCAACTTTTTTCTGGAAATAAAGAGGACATAGATAATATTACTTAACCATCCAATAACAAATTGTGATCTATATCAAGAAAGATACCGCATCAATGCTGCACTTAGGAAGGACAAGAATAACAAGTCAATTAAGAGGCACTGGGTAAGTTCTTACCTGGTGTGGCTCAGTTGAGCTTCCCAAACTGGCTATCCAACATAGTATAGTACCTTTCTGGTCAATTAAGTTAATACTTTTCTGCATATCTGAAATTTTCTTGAATTCACCTTATTTTCAGAAATAAAAAGGAATAACACTATAAGTTTGTTCACTTCAAAATCTAGCTTTCTATAAAGGAAAGATTACTAAATTACTAATCAAATTACTATAATACAATAATCCAGAGCATTAGGGTCTAGGCTTAGGGATGGGTTAGGTTGGACTGGCTTGGATTGGATTGGATAGAAAAGTTATATAGGGCTAACTTGAACTTCATCGGACTCACCAGTGGGTCAGAAAATTCTTGATCTGAGCCTGACCCATGCAGCTAAAGAATTGAGTTGGGTTGGGCCAAGTTTGGTTGAATCCTATCATCAAGAAACATATGACTGACCCATAAGTAACCTGACCGATTAGTTATTTCCTTGTAACTTCCATTATATATCTGCATCACTTACTTCACAGACTATATCCGTGCAAGCTTCATTTCCAAAGTATTTTTTTTTGCAGTGCCAGTAACACCCAAGGATCATGGCCAAGCACCATCCTGATCTCATTATGTGTCGGAAGCAACCAGGGATTGCTATCGGTCGCCTGTGCGAGAAGGATGATGGGAAGTGTGTCATCTGTGATTCATATGTCCGTCCATGTACACTCGTGCGGATCTGCGATGAGTGCAACTATGGTTCATTTCAGGGAAGGTGTGTCATCTGTGGAGGAGTTGGGATTTCTGATGCCTACTATTGCAAAGAATGCACCCAACAGGAGAAAGACCGTGATGGGTGTCCCAAGATTGTCAATCTGGGAAGTGCCAAGACTGATCTTTTCTATGAAAGAAAGAAATATGGATTTAAGAAAAGATGATCTGTTTTCTCTTCTACTTAGGACTACTATGTTGTTAATGTTGTAACAACTATATGCGGAAGACTAAGCACTTGGTACACAATGCAGTTATGGGACTGTTTGAGAAAGATTAGAAAGGAACTATATGCATAAGCTGACAAATGATATTAAGTGCATTTTCTGTAGTTTGAATCATATATGAACTTTATATGCTTCTTTCTTTCTTTTTTCTCGATTGCTAAGACATGTTTTACCTATTGGAAAGCGAATATATTGAATTCATTTGCACACCATGTCTGGTTGGAACACTTATCCATCAATTCTTCAGTCAGGCCATGGCTGCCCCAAGAAGATCTGCCCGTCCTATGCCTCTTCGGATGTGTTAAGACCATTAGATCTTCCTTTTATTTTTTACCGAGTAATCCAAGCAGCATTCATTTCCTTACAGTGATCAGTGGTCAAGGAGTTGGTCAGAGCAACAGATGCAGGAAGGGCTGCAGAAGGCACAGTGTTTGCACACAGGCTCTTCTTCTCGGAACATGATGCTACACATAGCAACAGGATGGACCACAAGTGCGGTGAACAGGAGCTTAATTGTAGCCTTGTGAGCAAGTATGAATTTGTAGCTTTGCGAGCAGTGTTGTGCGAGGACAAGCCTGCTCAGGAGTAGTGGAGCCACAGAAGGGTCAGGATCATCTGCGGCAGTGCCTTCAATAGGAACCACAACACCACGCAATTCTTGCATCCAAAACATTTATTCGTCTGTGAGCAATCCTATTTTGAATCCGCTGCTGCTGTCACTGTTTGCCTGCGATGGAAAAGCCCTCTGAGCCCTTGAGTTGATGAGGAATAGGAGAATCTCATTTTTTTTACCTTGTCTGACGAGAACTGTAAGTTTCTATTGTATGGTTGTTTTGAAACCCTGTTCGTCGCGATTTGCTCATGAAGAAAGGTAGAGCTCTATTGTCTGTCTTCTCATCGTAGTTGCCTAGGGTCATTCCACCAAATAATATCCGGTGAAGGACTCCAACTATGCAAGGGAATGGGGTTGTCTTCCTTTGTTGAACCGAAAGGACTTGCCATTACGAAGCTGGTCTCATAAAGAGATGATACGAGCAATATAGAGGACAAGCAATCAAGCTGGTCGACAGGCACAGCTCACGTTGGCTTGTGATTTGTGTGGTGCGCTCCTTCGAGTCGAATGTCTCATCCTTTGCTCTCGTCGCATGCACCACTCGGGTGGCATCACCATTGCCCACAGTGCCGAGCTCCATGTGCTGCTACGGCTCAGAACCGGCGATGCCCTTCGCGCGGTACATCCCTTCTTTGTTCTCAGACGAGGAAAAGGTCACCAGAGTCGAGAACATGCTCTCTGTTTGGGTTACGAACAGATGATACAGCGACCTGCTACTGCTGCTCGCAATGATTAGCATTGGACTGGAAGGAAATTTGTGTTAGAGAAGAAGCTATATAAAATTCGAAAGCTCTCACCGAAATCTCAACCCAACATTTGTTATGATGCTTAGCATTGGATCCGAGGGAAATATTTGAGTCTTCGAAGAGGTTATGATCTTTATTTTGGAGTAAGTGCAGATCAAGAACACATATAATTGACAAGAATTAAGGGATGCAAGCCACGTTGGAGTAGACATTAAGATCCCAAGTATGGAAGACATGATCAAACATGCACACTGAGGATGCAAGCATCGAACGAGTACATCATCAACGAGGCTGATCATTCACACATCATCAATGGATAGAAATCACAATGTAATACTTGTTTTCATCCTTCAAATAAATGGATACACGACGAATTGCATGTTTTAATGGACTAATCCATATGATAGTCGTAGCAGTCTTTTCTCGAAACAACACGACTGCTAAAAATTGTAGTAATTCCATCACTGCAGCATTTGGAATTTACGGAATGTTTCTTTGCCAGTATCCAAACTCTATAAGTAGGCACAAAAGTGTCATTTATGCATCATGTCGTAAGATATAAGAAATCTATGATAAGAAAATGAAAGAAAGCATAGGCTTGTAAGGTATTGAGAGAGTAGCTTGAGCTTATATCTATCTGTTAATCTCTTTCCTCATTAAGCTAGACAAATTTCTCATGCACTTAATTCTCAGGAGCTTGTCGTAAAAGTGCGGGTAGGAGAATTCCCACGAGAATATATGAAGGTTGTAGTTGAGCCTAGCAAGAGACATATTATTTTTAGTACTCAAATTAATGTGAGATATCTATCCTAAGCTCAGGAGAAGAAAGTGTGAAGATTTGAATCCTGAGCTCGTAAATTGGAACCGGTGAAGCTTTGGTTTCTAAGCCCATGGAAAGTAATTGATGTGGATTTGGTTCTGAATCCATGAAGAGGAACCAAAAAGGTTTTGTTCTCGAGCATCAGAAAACAGGCATCGATTGAGCCTATAGATTAAATAGACATGTAGCTTCTTTACTTGTTTCTTTGCTTACTGCACCTTTAATCCGATTAGCTAACTCATTATGGAACTTGATGAAACAAATCAAGTTAACTCGATCGGATTGATTCGATGAGATTCGAAGAACTATGATCTAAACAAAAGCTGAGTACTTTCTTTCGACCTCAGCACAGGATGAGATGCCCTCAACCTCGGCAGGAATGATTCTCTCATTATGACAACAATAATTCTCATTGGAATGGTGTAACTGTGTCCATCATGCAAAGTCCTACTTGAGAACTTATTTTCCTCTCGAGTGATTCACTAAGAACACAACCCTAAGATTTGAATCAAGATTGCTGTGTAAGATCGATCCATAGGGTTTAGAAAGCTCAAAACAAAGTTGTCTGTGAAACAACATTCTCTGGACATGTGCAATAGCATGTGATCCTATTACTAAATGCTTTACTACGTACTGACTGTGTGGATGCATGCCCACTGAGAGACTCTCAAGTTAAGATTAGACTAATTTAATGACTAGACTAGTAGTTAACACTCTTCTATATTACTACTAATCTAAACCCATTCTTTACATATAACCCCCACAGGTGGAGTAGTATCTCAGATTGCACCATTTCCTTGCAGTTCAAGAAAAGAGGCAGCAGCATCACAACACCTTCACACTCATCGATTAAAGAATGGATTCCTCGATACAGCATCTGTTTCTTATTTCCATATGGTTGTGAGCTTACTGTTGCGTCGAAAGAATAGCAATTTGATAGAGAATTTCTTTTTCCAAAAAAAAAATAAAATGTCGTAAGAATTCTTTCATAATAGTTCTTCTTCTTCTTCTTCTTCTTCTTTTTTCTTCTAATTTTCAGATAATATATATGGATCGAATTGAGATCCTTCCACAGAGAGTAAGATGGGAGTGAATGTTGCTGCTGTACGGCTATTAAATTGCATGCTTGGCGACGCAGCAAACATGGAGAGATGGTGAGCTTGCAGCGGTGGAATCCACGCGACGAATGGCGTAACTGCGACCCTATCGTAAACGTTTACTACGTGAGCCACTGAACCACCGCGACCGCCTTTCTACAACCGACCATGTAAAGGGTCTCTGGTACGTGCACCGGCATGCGTTGTCCGGCTCTCACGTGCCTCCTCGCACGTGCCCGCTCTCGCCTTGCTGCCGTCTCCTAATATAACTCGGGACACGGGGAGGGAGGGAGAGCCGCGCTCGTTCCCATAGCAGTGAAACGCCTGCGGTGTCGCTTTCTGTTGCCGCCGTTGTCAGCTCGAGCTCCTCGCAGCGACTGAGCACCGAGAGAGGGATGGGGGAGGTGCAAAGCTGACGCCTTTTCCTTTTTGCGCGGAAGATTTCGGGTTTTCTTTGTTTGTTTTTGTGAGCCTCGGTGGATGATTTAAACCCAAAGATGCGAGCTTTGTTGCAGGAAGAGAAGAAGCCGGAGGCGGGGAAGAAGGAGGCGGCGGCGGAGGAGGAGAAGCCCAAGGCGAAGGAGGAGAAGGAGGAGGCGAAGGCGGACGACGGGAAGAAGGGCGGCGCCGGCGAGGGCGAGAAGGAGAAGAAGGAAGGAGGTGGCGAAGAGAAGAAAGATGGGGGTGGTGAGGAAAAGAAGGAGGACGCGCCGCCGCCTCCCCCGCCGCCGGAGGAGATCGAGATGCGCGTCTTCATGCACTGCGAGGGGTGCGCCAGGAAGGTCAAGCGCTGCTTGAAGGGATTCGAAGGTAACGAGGGTGTTACATCGGTCTGAAACTCAAGAATGTCTTCTT